TTTCTCCTAAAGAACATACACCCAGTGGGGCACTGGAGTTGCACCTGGACTGTGCCCCAGTCATCCCCTCGGGCCCAGGAAGTCAGCAAAGAAATGGAAACTCCCCTCCTGCGAACAGGTGACGGGCTGGCACCAGAGTCTCCTGTGGCCATGGCAAACACACCAGTGTGTGGGGCTACCAAGAGCAGAAGGCTGAACCCCATGGGGTAATATCCTGATGTGGCATAATATTGTTGGGAGGAAAAAAATACAGTGTAGTAGGAAACACACACACACACACACACACACACACACACACACACACACAAATTAGTCTATGAGTTTTGATACACAGAAATTTCGGCCTCATCCCTTGCTTAAAAAGAACCAAAATTAATATTTGGTGAATACAGAGTCACCCTGCATATTGGCAACTACGAGAAGCAATCGGATTTTCCAAAGGCCCTCTGACACGAGACCGTTTACCGCTTCAATGCTGCTTGCTCATCTACTCGCCCCCTGCAGTTTATTCTCAACACGGAAACCAGGATTCTGTGAGAACCTAAGTCAGATTCCGTTCTCCGCTCCGAGCCCCTCAGTGGCTCCCGTCCCACCTGGAGAAAAAGCTTAAGTCCTTACAATGGTTTTCAGGCCTTAAGTGTCACGGGGCCTCACCTCCACCCCATTAGCTCATCTCCAACTTCTCTCCCCCCGGCTAACTCTTCTCCACCCACAAAGGCCTCCTTGTTAGGAGCCTGTGCTTCTTCCCCAGAAATCTGCATAGCTCACTACACAGCTCACACTGCTCAAATATCACCTCAGGGAGGCCTTCCCCAACTCCCTATTTAAATTAAAACCTCTCGCCACTGCCTCCTTCCCCCGCTGGGGCATTCCCCATTCCGTCTGACCGTCTGATTTTTGTCCACAACACTCATCAGCTGACTTATGTTTCACTTATGGCCCCAATAGCTAAAACAGCTTGCCTATTCAAGATGCTTCATAAGTAATTATGTAATGAATGAATAAACAAATGAATCCACCCACTCCTGAGTCTACAGTTCTGTCCCTATGCTAACAACTTCCATACCGGTGTCCAGCTCCATGTCCAACCCCTGACTGCCCCCTAGATGCCGTCCCTGGATATCCCAAAGCCACATCAAACCTGGACATGCCAAGGGGACAGGGCAGATCACCTTCTGAAGCTACCCCTTCTCTGGGTTTCCCACTTCAGTGACAGTAGCCCCACCTTCCTCAGTCTCCCGGGTGAGGGAACCCTATGCCTCGTTCTGACCCCTCTTGTCCTGTCTCTTCTGCTTTCAGTCTCTCTGCTCCCACTGCAACTGAGGTACAGGATGAGATGCGACTCTCCTGGGGTCACAAGAGATTCTCCTGGGATCATAAGGGAGCCCAGCAGAATCACCACACAGCAATAAAAACATGGATCTCTCCCTTTACACAAACACTAACATGTTGACAGAGCCCGTTTGCAGACATTATGTCACCAAACTATCACAATAACCCTGGGCTTGAATCTCATTATTCCCAATGGACAGAAGAGAACAGATTCAGAGAAGTGAAACGATTTGCCTGAGGTCACTGAGTGAGTAAGAGGGAGAGCTGAGGGCTTGAATTCAGTTCCCAAGACTAAGCCATCAGCAACCTGTATCTCCCTCAGTTTAAAACATGTGCTCTAGCAAAGCTGTCTAACTTCTCCAAGCCTCAGTTTCCTCACCTGTAAAATGGGGATAATAATAGATTCTAGGTCATGGAGTATTTATAAGGATTCGATGAGTTCATGCACATGAGGTGTTTCAGATGGTGCCTGGTAGTCCTAACACGGAATAAATGTTAGCTGTCATTATCATTATTATGTTAGGGTCTTAATGAAATATTTAAACTCCTAAAATCATTCAGAAAATCTTGTAGGTCTGTGTATTCTTCCTGCAAAAAGAATCCTCAGCTTCTCTCCTGTTCTCAAAAAGATTTGTGACCCAAAACGTTTTCAGAAATAGTGGGCAAGAGAGAGACCAAGAATATGTTCAGTATCGAACATAATCATGTAAGCCTTGCCCCTAACACACCTTTCCAAATACCTCAGAAGGAAGGAACAGGGCCCAAATCAAGAAAACCAGGCCCTGGCTGGGTAGTTCAGGTGGCTGGTGCATCATCCCGATACACCAAGGCTGTGGGTTCAATCCCCAGTCAGGGCACATACAAGAATCAACCAACGAATGCATAAACAAGTGGAACAAGAAATGGATGCTTCTCCAGTATGACAAAGCAGTCATGAGCACCAACGCTCAGTAGTTGTGGGTTCAGGTCTTAGCACTGCCATTTATTATTGGTGACAGCGGCCCCTATATTATGCTGCCCTTGTGAAGAGTTAAGATCGTGCAAGTAAAACACCAAGGCCAGCACCTGGCAAAGAGCAGATGCTTAGAACACACTTAGCCCTCTTCTCCCACCAGTTTCTTATCCCTCAGAGGAACAGTCTGTTTGGAATTCTGTAACCATCTCAGGTCAAACCACCCTTTCCTGTTTGCCTCCCTCCAACTTCGTAAGACTGTCTGTGGTGCAGGTCAGGTGAGAGGATACTCAGGAAGAACCTGGCCAGCATTGCAGAAACAGTGGTTTTGACCGGCTAAATCACTTCTCCCCTCTGTGCGTCAGTTTCCCAATCTTCAAAATGCGGTTGATTGGCTTAGATGATCTGAGTCACCTTTCCACTGAGCAGCCCGACTTCAGAAGGCAGGGTACAGGGCAATGATTCATTCTCTTCCAGCTGAGGAAACTGAGGCCCAGAAAGTAAAAGCAACCCACCCGGCCACAGGTTAATTCCTATGATCATCCTTGGCCTAGTCCTGGGATCACTTTTCTTCTCTAGCAATCACAGTGCCCTTTTTCCAGGTAAGGACGCTGAGGCCCAGAGGGAAAATGTCTCAACCCACTGCCAGCTGACTCCACAGCGGAGTCTGGAGCCGGGTTCTCCAGATTCCTCGTCAGAAGGATATAGAGAAAGGGCAGGGTCACCTGGAGCACCACAGAGATGGTCCTCTCGCCTGCCTTGGCTGCCCGCCATTTTCGGTAAGTGTCCGCCTTGAGAAGGTTTTCTGCACAGTGGGTCTGGAGATAAGAATGGGAAAGGGAAAGTTAGGGTACCGAGGTGAGAGCTAGGTCCGCAGCTCTCAGATTGTTCCTCCCAAACCCTCTGCGATATCCCAGATTTAAGTGCCCCCCTCAATTCCCCCAAGCTCTGCCTTGAGTCCCCTACAACACTTTCCGCTGGAAGTTCACCTATGAGCTCTCTAAGGAAGCTCCCCATTCCTCCTTTCTCTCCGAATCTACTAGATTCCCGAAGTACCCTCATTTCACATTTCTCTCAGACTTCCCTTAAAACCTGGAAATGCCCCCGTGACCCTCCTTAGACTTCCATGAAGTTCCCTTTTACAATCCAGAAGTTGTGAGAGGGCCCGTCACGAATTCCTTTACGTCTTCCAACCTCCCCCACGCCAGGCCCTCACCGAGTCCTGGCTACTGCAGGACACCACATGGCGGAGGCGGATCTCCGGCATGTCAACGGCTTGGGCTTCGCCGGACCCCAAAGATGAAGGAGGGTCCGAGTTTGAGGTGCCGGAAGCGGGTGCTCCCGCGCGCGCTTAACTGCGCAAGCGCGCAAGGCTCGGGCCTTTCAAACCGCGGCGCGCCGGCGCTCGCGTCGACCCCGCGCAGGCCCAGTCGCGCCTCTCCAGAGAGAGACGCTGAGTATCCTAGAAACGGACTTTTTCTCTAGACCCTCCTCCGCGTAATGTTTACGTCTTGCTTTCTGGGGGCGCCTAACAACAGGAGCGGATTCCAGGATTGGTCCCAGGAGAAGTCCGCTATTCTCATTGGACGACACTGTCACCGCCCAAACTAAAGACTAGAAAGCTACGAGGCAGGCAAACCCGAGTGGATTTTTGCCGAGAGCCTGGAGCCAGCATTAACGGGATCCTCTCCACGGGTTCTGCAGCTACACTCTTCCCCCTCTGGATTCTTCATCACACACAGGGAAAAAAAAATCTCAGATCTCGCCCTGGCGGGGTGGTTCAGCTGGTTGGAGCGTCGCCCTACACACCAAAAGGTTGCAGGTTCGATCCCCTGTCGGGGCTCGTCCAGGAGGCAGCCCATCGTTTCTCTTTCAAATCGAGCGGGCGCTCTCTCTCTGTCTCCCCTCTCTGTCTTTCATCAATAAACATATCCTCGGGTGAGGATTTAAAAAATCAGATCTCTCACAGGGTTTTGCCTGAGGCCAGGAGAGAGTGGGTCAAGAACCTAAATAAAACGCAAAGCATGAGCCCAGACCAGACACACACAACCAGCCTAGAGTGCTTCCACCCATTCCTCGTTTTCCCAATGTAACCTGTGCGCATCTGTCTCCTACCACGCCTGTCCCTGCCGGTTGACAGACACCCCGTCTGTTCGGTCCCCGCGAGACCCAGAGGTATTGCTCCAGGGGGTAGGATATGGAGACAGTCCGAACACAGAAGAGGGAGTATGAACCAAGCCCGTGAAGAAGGGAAGGAGGACAAGGCTCCCAGGCAGAACGAGCCTGGACACGCTGGGCGCTCCCAGGCAGGGCCCCACCCACGCAGGTGCCTCTTTGGGAAGGGAGAGGAGAGGGGATGTCAGCCTTTGTAGCCGCTCTACACCTACAAGGAATCAAGTGACCTGAGTTTGACCTTGGGCTTCAGGCCAGAAAAAAGCTGGGAGGAGAGTGTGCGAAAACAGGAAAGTGCCCTTCTGGGTCCTGATGGAAGACGCGACTGGAAGCCCAGACTCCTGGGGTCCCTGTGAAGGAGGAGGCCGGGTACAAGACGCCCTTGTCCCTTTTGGATTCTGGTTCCGCCTCCCCAACCCAGAGCCGTAGAGGCCTGCCCTGAGATCTTACCTCAGCTAATTCTCACCCCAGGGTGAAGGTGGGTCCAGACCCGCCCCTCCTCAGCTTCCTATAAGTGCTGGGAACCAGGGACTGCTGGGTCACACACCATGAGGCCCTCCATGACACCGAGGACCTTCCTGCTGGTTCTCACACTGCTCTGCACCCTGTTGGGTCTCGGTAAGTGACCAGAGGCTTGGACTCCTGGGATCCTCAGGAAAGAGGACTAGGAGAGAGCATTCAGCAAGGTCCTCTGGAAGGAAAGAGGAGGTGTCCTGGGAATTCAAGTGGGTGTTGGAGGCAGAGGATAAAGGAAGAGAAAGCCTGGGACCCCAAGAGAGGAAAAGCTCAAAGGCTCTTGTGTTTGGATTTCTGAGAAAGGAAGGGGCATAGTGGGCTCTGAGTCTTCTGTCCCTCAGGAAGGGTCTCAACATAAGACATTGGAATTCTAGAAAATGAGAGCATGACCAGAAAGGGAAATCTTAAAAGAAAAACAAAGGAAAAAGAAACACTGGGGGGTGAGAGAGAGAGATCTTTCTTCCTGGACTCTAGGGAGTTCAAGTCCCCAACCCCTCCTCCCTTAGAGGCAGGAGGTTAGGCAAGCCTCACCTTCCCCAGGTCCCAGGGGCCTGGGCCCCTAGCTGCCCCCTCTCTCAGGACCAAGGAGTCCATGCCCTCAGCTCTCCCGGTCCTCATTCTCCCTTCTGAAACTGGGATGCAGACCCCTGGCCTGAGCTCCTGCTGTCTACAAGACCTACACACGGTTCCTACAAAGACGATCTCATATCCAAGAACCAACTGGACCTGAAGCTTCACAAAAGTCCATGGAAACCTTTCCCAGGACCCCTCCCTGTCCCTGAGCTTTCTCAGAGGACCCTAGCGTCCAAAGTCCCCAGCCTTGTAATTAGGTAAACAGGCTCCGTGGTGGAGTCGCTTCCCGCCCCAGGAAGCAGCTTTGCTGGCATCACTAGCGCGTCCTTGTTAGAGCGCGGGACAGTTCCCTGGAGAGCGGTCAATGCCCCACCCAGGAACAGGAGGACACCTGTCCCATCTCCTTTAGAACCATAAGCCCGCCCCTTCCCCCGACCGCGTCCCGCGATCCCTGGCCCACACCACTCAGGACTACAGCCGGGCCCTCGCTCTGCACTGCAGGGTGCCCGCTAAGCTGTGAAGTATGTAGGGGCTCTGGCCCCACGTGCAGCGGCAAAATGAAGACTTGCGAGGCCGGCAAGGACGCCTGCGTGGTCATCGTGGGGGAGTCGAGCACCAGTAAGAGCGCGGAGCGTCAACCCCTGGCAGGCTGGTTGCGAGGGGAGGGACCATCGCGGTGGTGGGCGGGCAGGGGAGAGGGAAGACTCTCGAGGAGGATGGAGGGAAGTGGATTCAGCGGAGCTACAGAAACCATTGTTGTGAGCGATTTCTAAAACTGAGACCCTCCAAAAGAGAAGATGGGCGGGGGCAGATATAAGGGCTTTTTCGGGCAAGAGAGGGTGAGGGAAGGACTCGGGGACCCTAGTAGTGAGAGGGGAAGAATCTAATAGGCACGAAGTGGGAGGCGGATAGAGAAGGACGGGGCGGGGCAGGCTGGGGGAGTGGAATCAAGCACGACACGGGATGGGGGGGGGAGGAACAGCACCCCAGGGGGCGCGGGGGTAGTGCGGGCTGGAAGAGACAGCTCCTGACAGGAAGAGGAGAGATGGTGCTGGGGTAGGAGGAGGGAAATGAAAGGAGAGGGAGGATAATGCCCAAGCGTGGCGGAGACGTAGAAAGGGGGCAGAGGAGGGGACGACTTAGAGGGAAGGGGACACCCCAGGCCTGAGACTGGATGGGAGAGATGGAGAGCCGTGGAAGAGACCGTAAGGGGGTGGGGAGCCTAGGGGGCAGGGGGTGCCAAAGAAAGGCTGTGACAGCTGGTGAAGGGCGACCTTGAATGTAGGAAGGAACCATCCTGGCAGGAGGGGCTGTGTAAGAAAGGTGAGATAGATTGCAGGCCGCCCTCCTTACCTACCCAGCATTGGCGGGTGGGGGAAGGACCTGGAAGGCTTGACGAGGCACCCACCCCCCATTTGGGAAGTAGATACAGACGTTGGGGGTGGGGGGAGAGGAAGCTGGGGGTGCGGGAACCACCCTTTGGTGGGGAGACCTTTAAATTGGATTGGAAGAGACCACATGTGGGGAGGGGGCAAGGCGGTGGAGACTGGAAGGGACCACTTAAGGCAAGACCTGGGGGGTAGCAAGGAGGGCGCAATAGGCCGTCCGTCGGAGGCCTGGGGAGAGACCGTGAGGAAATCTGGAAGAGACCCCCTAGATAGACGGGGATTGTTGCATGGTGGCCGTGTGAGGGCCAGGTCTGTTGGAAGTGCCTCCCAAGCCTGCGAAGGCTGGAAGCCAGCATCTCACACCGCTATGGGGTAGCCATAGGCGACCTGGGAAAGATCACCACCCACAGGGCCTTCAGAGGATGGCTGGGGCGTGGGGGTGGGGTAGAAGGGACCTTTTAGGCAGACCTGGGCTTGACAATGGGGAACAGCGAGTGACCACCAAAGCCTGACTAGGGGCTATGGCAATGAGGTGGGGGGTGAGCAGAGCTACCTAATACCCCACTCCAGACACTGTACCCCAGGCGGATAAGGGGGTAGGGCTTTAGGAGGGGTGGAAGAGACCATCCTAGACAGTCATGGGGTGGGGGAGCTGTAGGGTTGGGAGAGACCCCAGGCAGGGGTCAACACTACCCCAGCCCTGCCCTCCTGACCTCCATCGTGCAGAGGGCCGCCACTCCGTGAACACCTACAAGGCCTGCATGAAGTTCAGCGACTGCTACTCGGGTTTTGTATCCACCACCATGGGCCCCAAGGACTACATGGTGTCCAACACGAACTGCTGCCAGAGTGACGGCTGCAACCGTGGCTCTGTGCCCCGTAAGTGCCAGCTCAGCCCAGCGTCGGGAGCCCCTTCCAGCCACCCCAAGAGCCCACTGTGTGCGCCCTGGCCCACCACCGACTGTGCGCTGTTACACCGGGCAAGCCCCTTGCTTGCTGAGCCTCAGTTTCTGCTCCTGTAAATGCAGTGACAGTTACCAAACCCTGTTCTCCAGGGTTATTGTGAGTTTGGGGGAAGGATCTAATGTCTCTTCGCACCTTATGCTCCACCCTCATCCCCAGCCCCCCAGAACAATCGGACAGAGAATGGCCTCCAGTGTCCTGCCTGCATCGTACCCTTCCAGGAGACGTGCCCGGGGACCCAGGCAGCCCGCTGTGTTGGCCAGGAAACCCACTGCATCTACTTCGCCGGCAACGTGCAGGCTGGTGAGGGGCACCTGGATCTCTGGAGGAGGGCTCAGGGACCCCACAACTGGAAGCCCAGGCTTGCAGGTTCTAGGGGAGATGGTGGCCCCAGAGAACTGGGTGAGGAGGTAGCAGGATCATGATTCTTAGGCCGTGAGGAAGGAGGGGTTGGGGGCTCTGACTCCATCCTGAATCCCCCTCCCAGGTATCATCAACACCAAGTTTGCCACTCGAGGCTGTGCTACGGAGAGTGCCTGCAACACCAAGCCTGGGGCTGAGGTGCCCTCGGCCTCCTATCTCTACTACCTCCGCCGAGCAGACTGCCTTCCAGCCCCCCAGCCTCCTGGCAGAGCTGAGTGAAGAACAGGAATGTGTGGCTTGAGGTCCCCGTTTGTCCTCAGCCTGCAGCTCCCTGTGTGCCTATAAACAAATAAACCAAGCAAGCCTCAGTCTTTGTACCATGATGCATCTCGGGGAGGTGGGTTGCAGAAAGCTGGAGGTTCAACCCTTGGGAACCCCCTCTTTGCAAGGAAGAGAGGGAAAACCCTACCTTTTATTTAAAAAAAACGATTTTAATTATTTATTTTTAGAGAGAAGGGAAGGGAGGGAGAGACACATCAATTGGCTACCTCTCGCACACCCTCCAAGGGGGTGGAGGGTACCTGCATCCCAGGCGTGTGCAAGCCAGCGGAACTTTAGCTTTGTGGGACAACGCCCAACCAACTAAGCCATACCAGTCAGAGCTTATTAAGGGATTACTTCCTGCGGGGCCCCTGTCCTAAATGTTTTCTGTGCTGTACCTCATTTCATAATTACAGCAACTCTGAAGTTGCTATTATTATCCCCATTTTACAGATGAACAAACTGAGGCACAGATTGTAATGTCATTTGCCTTGCGTCAAACCGCTAGGAGGGTCAGACTCCAGAGTCCATGATTACCTCTCCTGGGTCACCTCCCCACTTTTTGCCTCAGTCTTCATGTCAGCAAAATGTGGGTATTAGTAGTTATAAACTCAGAGTTGTTGTAAGAGTCAAATGAAAGAAAACTAAAGAAGCACTTAGTGCGGTGCCTAGCACCTTTAAGACTGTTGATTCTAGAGGCAATAGTGTGAGTAAATAGTAATCATTGTAATAGGTGCCACTTAGGGAAATGGCCATTAGTTGGCACGTGCTAAACATTGTCCTTGATCAGGACAGAATAGCCTATGCTATAGTAAAGAAGTCCCTGATCTCAGTGGTTTAAAACAACAAAGTTGTATTAGTCAACTCATGGGCAGTAATGCTGTGTAACAAGGCATCTCAAAACAGACTTCTAACAACAAGCATTCTTTTTAAGCATTTGTGGGTGGCTGGGTGGCTCTGCTTCTGGCAGAGGATTGGTTTGATTGGCTCTAGTGTTGGAAGGAGGATTCACGTTCTCCTCCTTAGGGTTCCACAGTCTTCTGGGACCAGTGGCTCCGTGGCAGATCACAGTAGCACAAAAGCCAAGCGCATTGAAGGCCCCTGCTTAGGTCAGGTCTGCAAACATTACGCTGAGTAAAGTAAGCCATCCAGTCAAAGCCAACATTCGGGAGCAGGGAAGTGTCCTCCCCTTCCAGTGGGAGGAAGAGGAATGGTACTTGCTGAACAAGTACCCACTCACAAAAGGTTGATTCTTCCTTCACCTACATGCTTGGCACCGTCCACAGGTGTTCTGTTCATTAGCAGCACAGAGCAGCCACCGACTCGAACACTGCCCATTTCTGTGCACAGGAAAGAGCCCAGGGAAGTCTCACATGGGTGATTAAATGCTGTGACTCAGAAGTAACTTAACCCAACTTGTTGGATGGAGCTGGCCACATGGCCCCACCAAATACCATGTGGACCAGGAAGTGCGAATCTGCCCTGTGACAGGAACATGCACCACGGCCTCTGAGTGGCGCTTTCTCATTCTGTCTTCACAACTCCACGGGACAGGCACCATTATTCCCACTCCTGTTTTCAGGAAAAGAATCTGAGGATCAGAGAAGGGCCATCACATTGAAGGTCACACAGCTAAAAAGTGGCAGAGCATAAGAATGTATTCATTGAGTCGTGTTGAAGGGGAATAGAGACCACATCACAGAGAGAGGGAACAAGCCTGTGTTAGTTACTTTTTACCACACAACAAGCCACTCAAGTGGCTTAGAATGATCATCTTCTATTTTGCTCATGACTCTTTTTTCTTTTTTTAAAGATTTTATTTATTTATTTTTAGAGAGAGGGGAAGGGGAGGAGAGAAACATCAATGTGTGGCTGCCTCTCACCCCCTACCCGCCACCGGGGACCCGGCCCACAACCCAGGCATGTGCCCTGACTGGGAATCGAACCAGTGGCCCCCTGGTTCACAGGCTGGCACTCAATCCATTGAGCCACACCAGCCAGGGCTGCTCATGATTCTATGGGTCAGCAATTTGGTCTTGGATCGGCTGAATGGTTCTTCTGCCGGTCCCTGCTGGTCCAGTAGCCCATCAGCTAGGGAGCCCTGTTTCAGAGGGCTGGCTGGCTGTGGGCTGGGTTTCGAGGCTGCCCGGGTCACATCTCTTAGCACCCAGCAGATCAGCTGGGGCTTCTTAAGGTGGCAGTGGTCCCCAGGGCAGCAAGAGAGGAAGCCCCAGTGCATGAGCACTTCCCCAGTCTCTGCTTGCATCGTGTTTCCTATTGTCCCAGTGGCCAAGCAAATCACACGGCCAGGTCTAGAGTCAGAATGAGAAGGGACTATCTAAGGGCGTGACTACAGAGAGGGTGAACAAATTGGAGGCATTAATGGGCCAAGCTGGTCCCAGATCAAAGATGCTTTACCATCACAAGCCCCCAAGGTCAAAACAGTCACTGGTCCACCCCAACCCCCAGGGAGGCAAAACTCAGATACAGATCAAGTGCCTTGATTCCAGTGCAAGGAAGTGTCTCCTGTTCAGAACGCCCCCTGCCTTTCCCCCCAACCTCAGGGCTCAAGAACCTTCCTCCCTCAGACCCAGGAGTCCAGGCCCCCAGTCACTCCTCCCTCCGACCCAGGGGTCCAGGCTTCCAGCTCCAGTTAAAACCCCAAGTATGTTTTTCCCCATACAAAGCCCAAAAGAACAGACACAGAATGGCATTTCTACGCACTTTTATTCACTCCTCCAAAAAGCACCACAGGCCAGCCACACCCTTCATGCGTCCTTCCATGGTTCTCCACCTCAGTGGACACAAGCCCCTCCAGCATTACCCAGAAACACAAGAAACTCAGCTTAGGTGATGAGACTGTCTCATCGCTCAAGTTCTTTGTGCCTATTCTGCTTCCGGCCAATGGCAATGCCAAAATTCATCATTCATTTCCTTAAATCCTTGCCTTTGAGGGTCTTCCAGCCTGGAGGTGCCACGTAGACACACCCTAATGGCAGCCAGTGATCTGTCTAAAAGGGAGACTCAGTCTTTTCTACTTGTATGCTCCCACAGACACGTGCCTCACTAGCAACCTTATACCTCCACTAAGTTTAAAAGTCAATGCCATCAAAAGTCATGATTTAAAAGGCAACCACTCGAAAAGGTAGTTGTGACACCCCAGAGTGCCAATATACAGTTATGAACTGCAATACAATGAGCACTCCCCAATGGCAGAGACACATGCAAACAAAACTGGGGCTCTGTTTCCTCAGGTGTGATCTCTGGCGTGAAAAGGGCAGAGGGAATTTGGAGCAGGGGATCAGAGGGCAGCGACGTCAGGCAGGACCAAATCAGAGATGGTGTCAACACCGCAGAAAAAGTGGACATTCTGTGAGCAAAGATACCCACACTAGAGTCGTCTTGGTGTCGCTGGGGCTGAGGGAGTGGGGGCAAGGACAACCAGGCTACTCTTGACGTCCCAGTGTGCCAGGCTTCTCAGGAGGGGCTGCAGTATGTTGACGTGTGAGAGAGAACGCACGTACCTAGGTACACACATTGAATTCTCACAATAACCCTGTGAGGTAGATACATACTACTTGCTGAGTGACTTGCCCGAGGTCACCCCCAAAGTCAGCAGGATCGTCTGACCGTAGAGCTATGCCAATAGAATTTCTTTCCCCTAAGGCCGAGAGCTTTGATGATGCCTGGAGCCATTCAGTTTAGAGCCAAATGCTTTTCCCCATCTTGGCCATCTCAACTTGGATGGCAGTTTAAGCTGGAGATGGGGGAGCCAGTCCTCTGGAATCTGTGCCTCAGGTCAGTTACCCCTGCCTTTGGCTGTCAAAGGAAATGTCACAGAAGAGAAAATAAGGCACTGGTCCAAGTCACCCAGGGTGACAGTGGCAAAGCTGTGCTTGCTTTCCAGGTCCCCTGACCTCTCAGACAGGCACGTTCTCTCCCATTAGAAGCTTGTTTCTCCCCCCATCTCAATTCTTTTCCCTGTTGTGTGGCAAGAGGCTGACAATCTACATCCTAGCCCTAGTTCTGCCACCGGCTAATGAATTAAAATAATATTTATTAAACACCTGCTGTGTGTCAAGCACTATTCTAGTTGCTGGGAGTATAGCAGAGAACAAGACAGACAAGGGAATAACAGCTGGTAAATAGGTAAATAAATAATTTTCTACAGTCATAATTGCTACCAGCAGGGAGGAATAATGGGGGGTAATGAGCCACTTCAGTTAGAACGGGCAGGGAAGGCCTCTCTGAGGGGACATTTGAGTTGAGACCTGACTGACAGAATGAGCCACTCATGGAAATTTCGGGGGGGGGGGGGCAGAGCACTCCAGGCAGCATGAACAGCAGGTGTGAAGGTCCTGAGGCAGGACCCAAGGTGGCTCACTCAAGCATCAGAAGGAAGATCCACCAAGCTGTCTGGAGGATGGGATGGGGCAGAGAATGGAAACAGGCAGGAGCCAGACCATATAGGGCCTTGCTGTGTGCTGCTGGGCCTAAAGCCTGCCCTCTCTGGGCTTTGTTCTCCCCAACTATTATAAAAGGGATTCTATTGGATGGCCTCTCAGCTTCTGCCCTCCCCTTCTGTTTTTGACACCGGAGAACTCTGTGCCCTGTGGCTGCTCCTCTACATGCAGGTGGCAGCCTAGAACATTCCAGGCACCGTGGTTTCTGCCTTTGCCCCACTCGTGGCACATTCCTGCTGGCGGGATCACCTGCCCAGGTGTCCTTTAGGTCCCGTGCTCACTGCAGCTCTCTGTGTGTACACCGGAAGGCAGAGCTTCCTAAGCATGCCCAAGGGAGCCAACAGACATGTTGGGATTAGTGCAGCTGTGTGGCTGCTTCTCCAAAAAGGCAGGTGTACAAAATACCATGCTGGAAAGGGTTCAGGTTTAATGACAGAAGAAACCAAGTCCCAAAGTAGGAACCACTAAAGGGCCGTGGGAGAGAGGAACAGATTCCTCAGAGAGCTCCCAAATCACTCAGCACCTCTGACACGGGACAGTCAAAGTCACAGAGAGAGGGGAGTTTCCAGGACCCAAATCCATTAGGGATTCGCAGGAGGTATCTCTGAGGTGTGGGTTCCTGCCCTTCCCTAACCAGAAGGTCTCATTCCTGGTGTCTGGCCACCCCCAGAGCCCACCACGCCCCTCTTGCCTCCTCTTCTTATTTTTGTGTGGCCGACCTTCCCCACAACAGCTGGGAAAGGAGTCTTCGTCACCAGAGTCTCCCCATCAGGAGCAAATATTAAACACCTCTATACTCCCCAAGAGACCAAAGGACTTCTAGCTCTGTCACACAGCCCCGTTCCCTCCTCTACATGCAGGCCTCCCACCACCCAGGAATTAGGAACCAAGGTCCACAGCCCTCTTCGGAGCCAGGAGTCTAGGACCCGAGACTGCCCCGTCCACCCATGAAGGTCCAAAGCCCACCGCCTCTTGAGGAACTGAGAGGCTGTGTGTAGACCTATTCCCCTTAGAAAACCCAGACCCTATATCCCTTTGTGGCTCATAAGTCTAAGAGTTCCAGGAACTCTTGGGGTACCCTAGTACTCCAAGCATGAGGTACCCAGGAGTACCCAGCCCGAGGAAGATGTCCCTCATCAGGAATCAGGGCTTCCACTCCCCCTGCCCCTGGAGAACTAGATGTCCATTACATCCAGTTTCTACTCCTTTGAAAACTAAGATAATATCATAACCCTTTCTGGAAGTCCAACCCCTCAACTCTCTTCAGGACACATGTCTCGGGGGGTTCTGCCCTGTGACCCCCAGAGAAATCAAGAGTCCTGGCCCCGAGATTCTATCCCCCTTCAAAACCCAGGAATGTGGGTGACTAGATTATCCCAACCAGGAGCTAGTCTCATCCCCTTCAAGCACCCAGGATTTGGAGTGGCGGCACACCCGCTGTCCTCTCAGAGCCCTAGACATCCCGTGCCGGAGACTGAACCCCTAAACCCGGTTCCTCTAAACCGGGTGTGGAGTCCTCAGTCCCTGGCGGAGCCAAGTAGCCAGGACTGGGAGCGCTCCGGAAGCCCTGGCCCTCACCCCACCCCTCACTGCGCAGGCGCATGGGGTGCCAGCACTGCCTCCGCATCGGCCAGCATCTCGTCCAGAGCCTGCAGCAGGACGCCATGGGCTGCGCGGTAGCCTAGGCCACCAGTGGCCGCTGCGCCGCCGGCGGGCCACAGGAAGGAGAGCGCACCCAGCGCTGCGCCCCCCGCAGTGCCCTCCCCGGCCCACGCACCCAGCCTCGCCTCAACTTCAGCGCGCGTTACTGGGCCGGGGAAGTGCGTCCGCTCTGCTAGCTCCCCCGCGGCCAGGCCCAGCGCGCGCTCCCGCCGGGCCAGCGCTGTGGGTTCGAGCCCCAGGGCCCGCCGCCACTCTGCCAGCTGACCGCGTAGAAGCGCCACATCACAGGCCCAGCCGAGCCCAGGTACTGGTGCTGCCGCCGCCGCCAGGCTAGCTAGCAGGGCCGGCCGCCATGCTCCAGCCCGAAGCGCCACAGCTTTGGTTCGGGCTGCACGCGGGGATGTGGGCGGCAGCGCCAGCAGCAGCGCCCCTGCCTGGGCCGCGGGAAGCGCTCGCCTCAGCCATTCGCAGAGCCCGGGGAGCCCACCCCGCCGCAGGGGGAACACCGGAGGCGGCGCCTCCTCCAGTACCTCCCAGGTCTCGTCCTCCGGGCTCCAAGCAGCCGCACGCCCTGTGTCCCCATTGCCCGACTGCTGTGCACCTGCGCCAACCTGCTGCAAACCCTCACTGCCTGCTTTCTCTGAAACTCCCCCATCGCCTGCTTTCTGAGATCCAGTGTCATGTTTTTCCAAACCCTCTCCACCTGCGTTCTCTAAGCTCTTGCCAGGGTACTTGTCTGCCTTCTTCTCTTCCAGAGATTCCGGATCTTCACCCTCGCCATCTGTTCGCACACCGACCAGCGGGGCATCGGGTAGCACCAAGGACCGGACCTGGGCCCAGTCCTCCTCAGTGGGGGCCCCAGCAGTGACAAGGATGAGGGCGTCGTAGTGGGTTGGGTGGGGGGTGGCAGCAGCGCCCTCGGAGCCCAGAGGCACGGTCCAGAGTACTACATTAGGGCGTTCAGGGGCAGGGTAGGGCGTGGGCCCTGTGGGCTCCACCGAAGCAGGCACAGCACCTGGGTCCCCAGGATCCAGCCCGAGCAGCAAGTTCAGCACAAGGCCCATGTCAGCGGTGCCAGCTATGGCCAGGTCCAGCCGTGCGCTGCCCAGTCGCTCCAGGCCAGCACGAACCCAGGACATCGCTGCCTCCAGGCCACCGGTCTCAAAGGCCTCACGCACAGCCTCCAGCTCAGCTGCTCCCAGCACCTCGAAGCCATCCTGAGCTGGCGGCAGGTGCCTACGGGGACAGGAAGGGATGGAGTCAAGGGCAGAAGAGAGGCTAAACAACGGGAGAGCTGAGCTAGGGGAACAGGGCTGGCATATGGCAACAAGGGTGGAGCTTTCTGAATAATCCTTAGTGAGGCAGGAACAGGAAAGGGAGGGGGGCGGTTGATGGCCCAGCAAATAGAAACCAGAGCTATGAATAAAGGGGAGAGACTTAAAGCAAGGATGGGGCAGCTTGAATGAGGTTAGGTTTCCAACAGAGCCTACGACAGGACCCAGCTACAATTTCCCTGTAACAGTCTTTTGTGGGTGAGGCTGTTCCCCCAGGGACTTGCAAGGTTAAGAAAAGGCTGTGCTGGGCAGGGCAAAACCCACAGACAGGCGGGGGGTGGGGCGGGCAAAGCCAGAATCACAACTATATTGTGGACTAAATGAAAGCCCAGCGCTATTCACTATTTGACATGGGCAAGGTCACTAAGAGGGCTTTTTCCTGACACTGGGGGTAAAGAGGGGAGTGAAGACCAGGGGAGAAGCCTCATCTACTAGCTCTTACCGGGGGATGTGGCTAAGGCAAACAGATGAGCAGTCGACCTAGAGAAGAGGATGCCCCACTCCAAGCCTCATTTTGACGTCTATGAAATGAGGCGGCTGGGGGTTAGGGGAAAAATTCAGGAGGTAGCCAGCAAGTGGGCACAAACACAAGAGGTGAGAGAAACGCAGTTGGGGAGGACACCCAGAAATAACGAAGTTCACTGAGGGTGTGGCTTTAGAGCGACTGGGGTCACTTGACAACCAAGCTAATGGGGAGGATGAGGAAGATTCGAGACTACAAGTCTTCAGGTAAAATATTCGTGAGGATCACAAGCTTGTGTGGAAGGGTGAGCCCTTCTCCAAACTTTTGCCTGGGGGCAATATTTGGGTGATAGGTCCCAGCCTCTTCTAGAAATCTCGTTAGGGAGTGGGACTTGTGACCTCAAAGCACTCACAGGAGATGGAACCTAGATGACAGGTCAGGACCTCTAGCTGACCCTTGGCTAGTGCGGAGCCTAGATGACAGAAAAGGATCGAGCACAGAGGGCTTGCCTGGTCGGAGCAACACTGACCTCAAAACCTGCGCTGAGGGGTGGGATCTGGATTCATAAGCGGGACCTCCAGCAGATATCTGGTTACGGTTTGCCTAAACTCCCCGGGGGCGGAGTCTCAGTGACCTTAAACAGCCTCCGGGTGAGGTCTAGAGAAGAGCCAGGCCTTCCCCACCCACAAAGAAACGCCCCGTGCTCACCTCTGCAACGCCTCCGCCTGGCTCCGCAGCGCCGCCCGCAGGCGCTCCAGTTCCACGCAGCCCTCTCTGCTGTCGCAGTCCGCATGCAGCACGTAGAGAGGCACACCTCCCAGTCCCGCGCTGTCCAGCAGGGCCTCGGTCTGTTCCCGGGCCTGGGCTTCATTTTGTGAATCTCCAGAACGGAGGTTCCGCACAGCCAGTAATGGCGTCCCTCGGGCCAGGGCGGCCCGCGCTGCCTCCCCCAGCGCTGGTGCCAAGGGTTCGTTGTTTCCTTCGGGGCCGGGCAGCACCAGGACCAGCACATTAGCCTCCGCTGCCCAGGGACCTGGAGCTGCGGGTGGGCAGCTCAGCTCGCCCAAGAAGAGGCCTGGGCCTGCAGCTCGCAGGCTGGGGATCCCGGGGTCTGGCCGTCCATCGGGGATCTCTACCACCTCCACATCTTTGTTGCACAGAGCTGCAATCAGTGCGGACTTTCCCGAGCCCGGAGGCCCCAGAAACAAGGCGGTCACATCACCCCGCGGTGGAGGCATAGCTGGAAAGAGCGATGGGCAAGACCAGGGTCAGGGGAGCACCCAGCCGTTTTATTACCTAGTCTTCCCACTCGGGTCCTAGACTTCAGCCTTCCACCCTGTCTCCTTCTTCTATTCTCGGGTATCACTCCCTGCGACCTAGAAATCCGGCGCCTAGACCCTATTCCCCAGGGATCCGGAGTCCTGACCGGTCCTCTTTATGGATGCCTTTCCCTTTCTGCTTCAAAAACTGAGAAACCCGGCCTCCAACCCCCTCCTCCCTGAGGGACAGTTGTTTTTACCTGCCCCGCCCCTCACCCATCCCCCTCAAATCACCGACCGAGCAAAGAGCCGATACACGGCAGGGCACAGTTGCTGGTCGCCGATCTGCCGCCGAAACGCTCCGCCCCTGGAGTCGGACGGACGGAGGCCGAAGAGGTTGGAGCGCAGGGATTTGGGGACCACCAGACGCGTTCCGAGGGCTCTAACCTGACGTCACTCCCTTTAGAAGGGGGTGTGTCTTGGAAGCGTGATCTCAGGGACATAGACCTTCGCGGCGCCTGCGCAGAACGGTCTCAGGGCCCTCGTTCCCCAAATCCGGCCCTGCAGGACCTTGAACAATGAGGTCGCCAAAGCGCCTGCGCGCCAGAAGCACCTAGCACACCTGCGCAGTAAGTTTAGGTCTGGACGGCTCCCGACGTCATCATAACGCGCCCCTGTGCAGAGAAGGACGCCTCCCGTTATTTTCCGGACCGAGTGGGCACGACTGTATAACTGCCGGATGGCAATCTGGGATCTTGGCTTCGAGAGGCTCATCAGGCGAAAGGGCATTGAAACCACCAGGACCTTGAGACTCAGTGGCCCCTATCCTGCTTCCCTCCGGGTGACGAGCGACTGACCGACAGGCGCAATGAAAGGCAGCCTTCTGCTGCTTGGAGGAAAGCGGAGGCTTGACCTGCCCGCCTGGGGAGGGGAGAGCCGAGGGCAATGCTTGCGGCAGCCGGACACACAGTTGAAAGCGCTCCTGGGAGGCGGGGGTTCTGGGTGGAACAAGAGTTAGAGGGTATCAGAGAAGGCTGTCTCCCGGGAAGAGGCGGGCTTAAGCGTGGGTACCAATACCTGCCTCAGGACACGTGGGAGAAAGGGAGAGGAGGATGGTGTCAAAGATGAAGGGTTCCGCACTCTCAGTTCAGGGAGCTAGTTTGAAGTAGGCCTTAGGTTTCACACAGGTGAGGTGGCTCTAAGGGAGTCACAAACCCAGGAAGTTGAATCTTTTAGAAGTTTCTCCAGGGAGAGCTCCATCAGGTTAGAGTTCAAGGAGATGGTATCTCACAAGGGTCAAAGTCTGGCAAGGACAGCTTCTAAGGCTGGCGACAGATGAACGACTGAATTTGATTTACTGTTCAATCACTCGTGCTCCTTTCTTGACCAGAGGGATCCTAGTCAACCACAGAGGATCCGTCTCCTGAAGAGACTACGGAGCAGCAGGATTTGTCCAAAATGAGGAGTCCCTGCAGTACAGGTGACACAAGTGAGAACCGCTGGCCAGAGGGTGGGGTGCAGGAACTGATGCTGAAAGGATTTCTATAGCATTTCAATGTCCAAGGACGCTGTAGGGACTTGCCTATTGGGGAGCTGCCCTAAAAGAACTGCCACTCCCTATCCTTACGCTTACTAGGCTCTGATGTACCCATCCTGCTCTGTCCACCTAAGTGCGAATGGGATGCAGTTCAGAGGGGCACAGTGTCATCCCGAGAGGCTTGGGGTGGGAGATGTGGCTGGGAGAGAGCAGAAACTGGAGGAGCCCCCAAACCTCCAGTTCCAACTGTGCCCTAGGCTTTCAGTGCAACTTGGGCCTTGGTTTCCCTGGCAGAAGGGGTTGCCATTACTTACCTCACAGGGCTGGTACAGGGATTAGCAGCAGCAAAGAGGAAAGCTGGAGGGTGATGAAGGTAGCCAGTCTGACATAATAGCAACAGCTCCTACTGAATGCTTACTCTGTGCTAGGCCATTAACACTCGTTATCTTATTCAGGCTTCCTAACAGACCCTAAGAAATTGGTTGTCACTTTCAGAGGGAACTGAGGCAAAGAGAGGTCACGTATTTGTGACAATGACTGCCAGTGTCAATGTCCTCTGGCCAAAGACCCCCCCAGGAACACACCTGTAGTCAACAAGTGGGTTTATTGCCCACCAACTGAGAAAGCACACACACCGTAGCGGCACCAAAGTAATGGAGTGTTTTGTTAAAGGACTTGATTATAGGATTTGGGTTTGCAGTAGGTGATTTTGGGAAGTATTTGAGGAAGAGGGGCTTTGCTCTGTATTGGATGGTGCCAGGAAGCAGGGCAGCTCTGTGGCTGTCTATCTTAATAAATCTTACCTAGAAGGCAGAGGAACACAAGAAGGCACGAGCTGTGAGTGGCGAAGCAGCAGCAGCAGCCACTCGTATTAGCTAGGACCAATTAGGGAGGTGTTTAGTCATTTTTGTGGCTTGGACAATGTTCGTATTTTGTCTGTATTCAGATGCTGTTATGGCAGAGTTCTGTTGTCTTGATGCAGCCACTGTGGCCTTGTCTGATGACATTCTGTGAAATCATTTACATTCAGCAGGGGAATGCCAAAGTCTACCTGTGCCAGGCCAGCTCCCGGCTATGGCGCTGCTTTCCTCCTTAATAGTAATAATCGCAAGCCATTGTGTAAAGTGTTCTAAGCACTTTATATAAATTCATTCATTTATTTCTTAGAACAGCCCTATCAGGTAGCTACTGATACGGTTATGGCCCCATTTTTCAGATGAAGAAACTGTTGTACCTGCATGGGAAATAGGAGAGCCGGTCTGGGCCAGAGGCTGTGCTCTAATCACACAGCTCTGCTGAAGGAGACTCCCTGGGTTCCCCTCTTGACTCCATTTCATTTCCTAATCTCATGACTGTGGGCAAGTTGCCTAACTTTTTTGACCCTCAGTCTGCTCATCTATAAAACAGGTCCAATAACAATAATCTGTGTTGCTCTCTAGTCCTGGCACACAGTAAGCACTGAATGTTCATTGCTGTCCTGATTCCGGGGCACGGGAGAGATCCTGGAGACTCCTGCTGGACGCCCCCGCGCTCTCCCCACATCCCTCAGGCCATCCGGGGGGCCTGCAGTGCACCTGCTGTCTCCCCACCATGCCAACTCAAGTTCCAGGAGCGTGACAGGAAGTGGGAGCACCCAGCAGATGTGGCCCAGAAGCTGCAGGCCGTCTTCGTCTGCTTCACCTGTGCAGCCACAGTCCCACCACCAGGCCCGCCCCCGGGTGGCACCCACCACTGCCCAGCCCACCTTCCCTTGATCCGGCTGTGGCAAGACCTTTGGGCGGGCCACTTCTCTGAGGCAGCACCCCCAGGTGCATGAGGCCTGCACCCCTTCTGGCCTCTGCCTGCCCACTGAGTGTGGTCAGGACCTGGCCCAGGAAGCTGGGCTGCATCAACACTACATCCCACATGCCCGCGGGGAGCTCCGAATGCAGCCTCAGCCTTCCCTCAGGCCGTGGCGGTTCTGTGCTTGGTGGGACCCTCCTCTGATATGCGATGGGCCCTTGGAGGAATTTGCTTCCTCCCTGGAAAGGCAAAGGGCTCCTGATAAACAGGGCCCAGGAGATACTTATTTGTTCTTTTTACTTTATTTTTTTTTAAAGGTTTTATTTATTTATTTTTAGAGAGAGGGGATGGGAGGGAGAAAGAGAGGGAGAGAAACATCAGTGTGTGAGAGAAACACGATCAGTTGCCTTTCACACGCCCCCAACCAGGGACTTGACGGAACCCAGGCTTGTGCCCTGACTGGGAATCCAACCAGCAACCTTTTTGTTTGCAGGCCTGTACTCAGTCCACTGAGCCACACCAGCCAGGGCAGAAGATGCTTATTTAATAAAGCTTCAGTCTTTGGAGGACAGAAAGGCCTTTGGGGAAACAGTGAAATCAGACAAGAGCGAGATCTTTTGTTTAAAAAAAATGAGTAAGAGGGAAAATTACTTGTATCTCCCTCATTCCCAATTAAATAGTTTGAAAACACAAGTAGCTGCAGATTGTATAATCACCTCTTATTCTTCCCAGGTGGATGTCATGGGCCGTAGGAACAAACTGCCCTGGATTTGTGCCTGAATTGGGGCAGGGAAGGTGAGGTGCTGCTGGCCTACAATGCCACCAGATGGGTCCCAGACATGGAGCAGCTCAGGCCTTCGGGGATGCACAGCAAAGTTAAGGAGCCGTACTGAGTCATGGGGCGGTTGCAGTTCAAGTCCTTGTCTCCTCCCCACCCTCTTGCCAGCCTTTGCCACTTGAGGGACCATGCCATTGGGTGGCTTGTTTGCACCCTCCCTTGATAATTTACTGCCCATTTAAATAATTTTATGTACCATTCTGGTTATGGAATATTTTTAATATCTGTAGGTGAGATGGCATGAATAAACTAACAGAAATAGTAGCCAAAAACAGAAAAGCTCTGTATTAAGAGACCTAAACAAGGAACTCTGGCTTTTCAGCAGGAATTCCCAGAGTCCACAGGAAAGGCATGAGGAGGGGTATGTGGTATGAGAACATGGGTCCCTTCTCAAGCTCCAGCTCCCCCTCCCACCCTGTGAGAATATGATGAAAGCCATTTGTAAGCGGGCTGTGGGACCGACCTTGGGAGCCTGGCCAGCTCCTCAGTCAAGAAATGAGCAAAGACAAACTGTTTTCGGATGTCTGCCCAGACTGTAAACAACTGCAGAGAAACAGCTAGCGTTTGGATCTCACACAGCTTGCACATGAGCACCCTGCATACCCTGTCTGCTTTGTTTCCTGTATATATATCTCCCTGTGCTGGGAAAGCCTGGGTTGGGGAAAGCTTCACTGGCTGGCTACCACCGATGCACATGCAAGTCCTAATAAACCCATGTCTTTCACAGCCCGTCCTCTGGGTTATTTCTTTGGAATCAGCAAGCAATATGCCAAGTTTTTCTTGGACCTTGGCTCTGCATAACAAGGAGGCAGCTCAGGGCAGAGCCGGTCTGGCCCTGTGAGAACGCTGGTTTGGATTCAAACAGAGATACCTTCTGTTTCCTATTGTACTTGGCCAACATTGGGAGATTTCCCATTGAGATCCTATTTTCGGCTCTTAAAAAGCCCATCCTTGGCTGAGTCCCACCAGGCCAGTTTTACTCCCTTGCATTACCTGCCCTGCCCCTAGACACAGTGGTTGATGCCTGGTATACAATTATCATAGGTCATTTAAATTGAGGGATGTTTTTAAAGCCCACAGGTGGGATGGATGTGGTAGACTGAGAGAGATCTCCCAATTTTTAGCTAGGCACATGGTGTCTACGATGACATTTCCCAGGTTCCCCTGCAGTTAGCTGTGGCCACGTGACAGAGTTCCGGCTAAATTCCTGGGTAGAGTCCTGAAGCTTCAGAAAGGGACATTCCTTTCCTCCACCTTCCTGTCTGGAATGCAAACATAGTATCCAGGCATCTTGGACCATGAGAGCAACAGGTGGGATGGCAGAGCAACAAGATAGCAGGAGTCTGGGTCCCTGGTCAACCTCACGCAGCTGAGCCATCATAGCAGCCCTAGAACACCCGTTTCCCTACTGTCATGTAAGAAGGAAATGAGCCTCTCTACTTTGCTGAAGCAGCCATTAGTTTGGGTCTCCACCACATGCAGCATAATTGATAGCCTAAGGCAGAGGTCTGCAAACTATGGCCAAATCCAGCCTGCCTCCTGGTTTTGCAAATAAAGTTTTATTGGAGCACAGTCATGTTCTTTCATTTACATCCTGTGTATGGCTGTTTCCACATAGAACAGATTTCAGTAGCTGCAACAAATATATGGCCCACAAAGCCTAAAATAGTTACCATATCGTCTGTTACAGTAAAAGCTTGCCAACCCCTTGTCTAACTAATAGACATGCAACCTACCCTGAGCCTGAATGCAGGATTCCCACCCTGGGAAACTCTGCCTCTGGCAGGGCTGTGTGTGCATAGCATCTGGGGCAGGGCTAGTTAGCCTGGAACTCTTTGCTGGTGTGACTTCGGGGAAACTGGTTTAGAGACAGCTGGCCATCACTTTTGTCCAAGCTATCAACTTCACCAAAGCCAAACATTTCCTCTGGCGCCTGGTGAAAGCCCAGAAAATTCTGACCCAGGTGTTTCACGCCATCCCTACAGCGGCGCCCCCACTCCAAACCTAAGCGTCTCATCCCACATGCTCTCTTGAGACAGACAGCTGCCTGCCCAGGTACACCCTTGGCTTCCTGTTCTCTCCATGCTCCAGATGTCATAGATTCCCAAGACTTTAAATGGCATCACAGGTGACTCCCAAATCTTTATCTTCAGCCCAAACCCGAGACTTCCCCTCATGAGATACAGCCAGCTGGACAATAGATGGAGTTGCAAACCTAAAATGGGTCACCCTGACGCCTGCAGCCTCCTGCCTCCACCACAACTGCCATAATATTCATAAACAGCGCACCCTACTTCTCAATTCTTAAAGAATCTGATTCCTTTTCCCCCAGCCCTACTCTCCTAACTGGCCCTCCTGCTAAGACTGCCCCCCCCAGTCTCTACCACAGACCACGCCCTGTGTGTACGTAAATCAGCTTATGCCACTGCTCATTTAAAACCCTGCAAAGGAATCCCATAAATAACTTCCAAAGACCTTACTCAAAACCCAACAGTGACCGGGCCCCAGCCCACTAAGCCATCTGAGCTCCCTCCTTGCTCTGTCTTCCTCACTGCTCTCCTGACACACCTGCCAGGTTGGCTTCTGCCTCAGAGCCTTTGCACTTGCTGCTCCCTCTGCCTGGAGCACTCTTACCCAGAACTTCGCAAGCCCACCACCTTGTTATTCAGGTCTCAGCATGTACCACCTCCTCAGAGAGGCCCTCCATGGCCTGATGGGCTAAATTAGCACCTCTAACCCTTACTCTGATTGAATTTCTTCCCAGCACGCGGCAACACCTGGAATTATCACACTCATTTCCTTATCTGCATCCTCATGTTGGACTCCAAGCTCCCAAGGGCAGGTACTATGTATTCCTCGCTGCTTCCTCCCCAGCACTTAGGACAGGCTTACCAAGGAGATTAAAAAAAACACTCCTTGACTTTATGTGTTTGCCTGGTGTCTCTTCTCTCCAGCCTGCCTTAGGGAGCTGGCTTCCTTAAGTCCTGCCCATGAGAGGTCAGGCAGAAGGAGGGAGGAGAAAGGGTCTCGCCTTGCATTGGGCTCCTGCTGGAACCCCTCCAGCGCTTTCTGTACTCACACAAGGCACTATGCCCTTCTTGCAAATTTTTTTAAATGATTTTATTTATTTATTTTTTAGAGGAGGGAAGAGAGGGAGAGAAACATCAATGCGTGGCAGCATTTCATGCACCCCATATTGGGAATCAAACCTGCGACCCACCAGCTCACAGGCCGGCACTCAATCACTGAGCCACACCAGCCAGGGCACCCCTCTTGAGGTTTTAAAGCGCCTGCCGCATGGCACCTCGTCACTGGTCCCTGCACCAGCTGCATGTGGCCTGCCCTCCAAGCATCTTTTGGGTTCTGGTCATCTCACCTCTCTTTCTGTATCTCAGTCCTGGGGATGGGAGCTTCTTGCAGACACATTTCTCGGTTATTTCACTTTTTCACGTTTGCGCTTCCAGCCTTCAAACACCTGTGTGACCAACTCCCTGTACTGAAAGTCCTCTCTTGGGAATCCCTAGCTTGGTTTCCATACTCTGAGGGCGCCCGAGGTACTTCAAAATGACCCTACTGGCAGCAAACCGGGTCTCTTGATTCCCAGGCTCTCATGATCCTTATGAATTTCTGCTGACAAATGGATAATTCTCTACATGTGTGCTTAGGAAGAAAGCCCTGCCTTAGGGCAGAAGAGGCCTTACACACACTGCCCCAGGAAACAAAATCCATGTTGTTTTAATGAGCTGTGCATTTCTGCTTTGATGATTCTAAGAGTCTGCGATGCTAGGCTACAGTGGGTATGGAAGCCTCAGTGAATAAGTGTCAGGTTCTGAGATTCAGAGCTTCTAGGATGAAAAGTATGGGTTTTGAAAGATGCTTTGGTCTAAGTTCCTTTAACAGGGATCAACGGCAAATGCTCTTGGGGGCCAAAGAGGTTACATAATCAGCGAAGCAGGCAGGTGGGAGGGGCCCAGGTACCAGATGATGGGGACTGGCACGTGGCAGGGAATGCCCCACTGATGTGCGGCGATCCTTACGCGGCTCCAGCAAATTGCTGCCCCGTGGGATGGTGAGTTCAGTGCTCTAGATCTAACAATTTTTCAAGAGAAGCCACAAACCTCCATTTCTATGCGAAACCTGCCCATTTTTAAATGGCAGTAACCAACATGATTTCAAAAACCTCAATAACTCTGTGGAGACCAAATACACTCCTGCAGTCAGATGGTGGCCGGGGACAACCAGACCGCCATTTCTGGTGTGCGGCTTCCTGGCAAAGAACGGGTGCCCTGCATCCAGCTGTCTGGAAGCAAATCTGGGCTCTGCTAGTTACGAGCTGTGACCTCTAGCAGCTGTGACCTCTAGCGGGTCTCTGTGCCCCGGGCGTAGCAGTTGTAAAATGACCATGACAACAGACCTCATGCCTGTAAGGATCAAGACGATGATCAGGACGATGACTGAGACTCAGAGAGAAGGCGCGAGTCAGTGTAAGGGTCCACGTGGCTGCGCCCTCTGCCCTTGTCTTCCCTACCTTCCTCAGGGACAGCCTCTTGGCCGGTGCGCCCTGCCACAAACACCCCGAGCGGACTCCCACCTCCGGGCCTCTGAGCTTGCTGCTCCCACGGAGGCCACGGGGCTCACTCCTTCCCCTCCCCCAGGTCCCTGCTCTCAGGTCCCGTTCACAGTGAAGCCTTCCTGACCACTGTATTTGCAATGGTTTCACACACGCGCCTCCCCATTCCCCTTCCTTTTTCCTCCACAGCACTTACTACCTCCTAACAGTAATTACATTTTATTTTACTTAAATGACTAATGCAGCATCTGTCTCTCTTCCCCAGTGTAACTTCCACAAAGGTAGTGATCTTTGTTCATCACGTTCACCACTCTATTCCCAGCTCCCCAAATACTGCCTGCATCTCACAGGTGCTCAGTGAATCAGGAGTAAATAAATCACAGGCCCTACCTCATAAGAATCCGAGGCGATTGTCCATACAAAGTGCTTAGCCCGGGCCTGGTCCACTGTGAGCGATGACTTAACGATGGCCGTTACGGTAATGCAGGTTCTTAGTTGCCAAGCTTCTATGAGTTAACACATGTAAAGCGCCTTAGAACAGGGCTTGGCACACTGCAAATGCTCAGTAAATGGTAGCTATCATTATCATTAGGCTTCTATTTTCAAAGCAGTTTTGGTGCCAAGCTTCTGTGAATTAGTACTTCCCATCTCAGAGCGAGCCAAAGTTTGGACAAGGCTGTAAGGAGCTGGCCCGCTGCTCCCCTCTGACCTCACCCCTCCAGCTCGGCCCTCCCTCCCTCCCCCTCCCTGATTCTCAGACTCCCGCCTCTTCCCACCTGGACCCCACCTGGACCGGTCTCCTCTCCCCACCCAACCCAACGTGCAAGGCTCCTTCCCTCCCTCCCTCAGGTCTGTCACTTCTGCAGGGAGGACTATACCATTTAAAATCGCAACCCCTTCCAGAACTTTTCTCCCTCCCCTGCTTTATTTTTCTCTACTGCAGTCACCACCCAGCATATGCTACATCTTTCTTTTACTGTCTCTCCCCACCAGTGGCCCCTTTCTCCTCCACTTCTGTGTAAGCTCCACAAGGACAAGGATTTTATTTTATTCATGGGCATATTCCTAATGCTTAACACACAGGTCCTCAAAAGATATTTGTGAAATGAATTAATGGCTCAGTCCCTACCTCAGAGTTATTCTAAGGACCTGATGATCTCATGCAAATGCAATGCAGAACTCTGTAAGTGCTGAGAAAAATGGCAACCGTGATTATAATTAAGGTTCTATTTTTGTAAGTTCCTAGATGCACAACTCATATGAGTCAACACACATAAAGCTCTTGGACCAGCACTTGGCACCCAGGAAAAGCATAGCTATGATTATAATGAAAGTCTTCTTTTCTTTTTTTTAAATCCTCACCCGAGGATATGTTTATTGGTTTTAGAGAGAGAGGAAGGGAAGGAGGGATGGACGGGGCGGGGGGGGGGGGAGGGGGGAGAGAAACTTTGATCAGCTGCCTCCAATATGCACCCTGACTGGAGATCGAACCTGCAACCTTCCGGTGTATAGGACGGCACTCCAACTAATTGAGCAACCCAGCTAGGGCTTCAAGTCCTTTTTATGAAAGTTCTTAGACAAAGTCTCAGAGAAGATGAGCTGTCCTCCACAAACCATTTTCTGCTTTATGGGCACTTGGCTAGGCTGCTTTTCCCAGACTCCCTTGCAGTGAGCTGTGGCATGTGACTAACTTCTCAGCAAAGGGATGTAAACGGAAGCCATATGTGCCACTTCTAGGCTGGGGCCTGTAAGAGAACACGTGCACTTCTCTAGGCTCCCAGGCCATGGCCCCCCGGCCATGACCATGGGGATGAAAACAGGCTTAAGAGGTGGTTGGGTCCCCTAATCACCAGATGGAGAAGGGTTGCCTGCCAACCTGAAACACCTACCCTGGACTATTATGTGAGTGGGAAACAAAATTCTGTTTGTGTTTGAGCCTGTACATCATGGGGTCTACAAGTAAATATGCAGAAGCTACACCGAACACACAGTGTTTAGTAAACGTTAATTATCTAAGCAACAATGATCCTAAAGTTCCCCTGGAAGGAGTCCAAGGGGATGAGGGGCATCTAGATAGATGCCCAGGCACATGCCTCACACACTGGAGCATAAACACACACACACACACACACGCACACACACAGACATCAAACACACTGGACTGACACACACAGAATCCAGCTTTATTCTGGCCTTCACACATACTGCTAAGACGACACAGATCAGCAGTATCCCACCCCCAGGACTATTTCAACCACCCAATTTCCTCAGCCCCTCCTCCCACCCCACCCCTTCTGCCAAGCTTCCTAGGCGGGGAACTCTGCCTACACCTCACCCCGGGCATGCAGCATGAAGTGCCCGTGCAGCTCCCCGAGGTTGTCGAAGGAATCCTCGCACTCCGTGCAGTGGTAGGTGCCCTCCTCGTCCTCATCCTCATCCTCCTCCCTCCCAGCGGGTCGGCCCTCCCTAGCCCGAGGGGGCTCTTCTTCTTCCTCCCCAAGCACCCTGCCTTCAGGGGCTGGCACTTCCTGGGGGGCTGTCGCGGGAGAGCAGAGGCGGCAGGGTGGGGTGCCTGGTGGGGCCTCCCCAAGGGGCGAGCGGCCACAGAGCTGGCAGGGCTGGGCTGCGGGGCCCGGGGGCTGGGCTGCACGGGGGGCCCGGCGGGAGGGGCCACCCCGGCCCCCACCCAGGCGCTGCTTCACCTTGTAGCCAGGGTCATATTCGGGGTCATCAGTGGTCTCCTCTTCTTCCTCCTCCTCATCTTCTTCCTCTTCAGAGTCCGGCTCTGAGAGTGTGTATTCGGAGTCAGAGGAATGCTCGGGGCCTGCAGGGGGATGGGCGGGGAAGGACAGCAACATCAAAAGACAGAGGGCTATGCCCAGGTGGCAGTCCCCTCCCTGAGCCCTACCAAGGCTAGTCACCAGATAGAGAGCCCTGACCTTCCCAACAGAAGGCTCCCCATCCCGTAGAACAGGGCCTGGCGCACAGTAGGTGCTCAGTGTCTGCGTGTCAAGCAAATGAGTGCCTTGCCTGAGCTGCATCTTAGCAGGTTAATAAAGACGAAACAGGAGTAAAAGCCGGCGAATAGTAAAAATAGCAGCAGCAACAGCAGTGGCGTCCACCGCTTCTGGAAAAGCCCTAGTCTCATGTATTAACTCACCTAACCCTTAGAGCAGCTCTGTGGGGGAAACACTATTATTATTGTTCCTAAGTGACAAGTGGAGAAACGAGGCACAGAGCAGTTAGGCCTCCAGTCACACTGCTCTAACAGGGAAAGCTAAATGCGGGCAATCGCCTACGCTAAATCATTTTAGGGAGACAAACATTTGAGCAAGTGTCTCCTAAGGCCGACTGAGGCTCAGTATTGCTAGGGACCAGACACAGGTAGCCAGGTCGCTCTACCTTCAGGGGTCTCCAGACCCAGAGAGTCACTGCTCAGGTGGTCAGGGTGTGTTAGGGGGCCCGGGGAAGGAGACACTGACTGGCGGGGGAGTCAGGGAGGACCTCACAGGGGAGGTGCTGTGTGAGCGGGAGCCTTAAAGAGGAGCAGGAGTTTGGTGGCGGAGATGGAAAAGGTGGGTCCAGGTCGGAGAGGAGCAGGTATCTAAGCCAATTAAAACACACAGTATGTAAGTACTTTCATACACATGGTTTTATATAGTCACGCAATGCTTAGTGATGGGTACGTTCTGAGAAATGCATCATCAGGCGATTCTGCTGTTGTACCAACGTTAGAGTACACTTACACAAATCTAGCCTGTCTAGCCTACTAGGCACCCAAGCTATTGCTCTACCTCTACTCTTCTGGGTTCTTGGCTGAGACACCCCTATAACAAAGACAGATACACAGGAGAAAAGTCTAGTAACATGGAAGAGATTCAGGGAAACTGAGTAACTCACCAAAATGGCTGAAGCCACCACCCTAAATACGTCCTGGAGTTGAAGACAAAGATGTTGGGGGTGGGGGAAGTCAGCTAAGGCAGAGTACCAGAAAAGGCAGTTACTGAGGGTTAGTCTGTTATGCAGATTTAGGTCCCAGTCATTTGCATTGATGAAAATTTCTAGAGATAAAGGTCATCCCCCTTCCTGGTACCTGAAGGAGACACCCTTACAAATGTAAACGCCTTTCACAAAGGGTAGCTGCGACTTGGTTTTTAGAACTTCCCCTTGACAGTTCTTTCTCAAAAATAACCAGCCTAAAATAATCCTTATGCTAAACAGGCCTACAGTTGACCCTTGAACAGGAGGGTTTAAACTGAGAGGGTCAACTGAAAAAGCCTAGTTATGAACGAGCCTGAGCAGTTCAAACCTGCGTCTGCGTCGTTCAAGGGATAACTGTATTTGGGGGCGACAAACTCCGTTCCCCTGTAGCTCCTAGGCTACACATCTGTACAGTGTGTTCCTGTACCAAATACTGTAGGCAAATGAAGTGAACTATCTGTGCAATGTGTTGAGCTACACCGTTAAAAGGTCTACAATGTCACTAGGCAGTAAGAATTTTTCAGCTCCATTCTCATCTCATTTCACTCATTGTGTGGTACATGACTGTATAGATAAATATCTAGTTAAGTGAATTAAAAGATTTATGTGTAAGTGTAGATATATGATTGTGATTTAAAAAAAAAAGATTTTATTTATTCATTTTTAGAAAGAAGGGAAGAGAGGGAGGGAAACATCACTGTGCAAGAGAAACACAGAACAGTTGCCTCTCACATGCCGCCAAACAGGGACCAGGCCTGCAACCCAGGCATGTGCCCTGCCTGGGAATGGAACCGGTGACCTTTAGGTCCGCAGGTCTGTGCTCAATCCACTGAGCCACACCAGCCAGGGCTGACTGTGATTTCATGCATGTGAAGGACATGCCTAGGACAAGTTTAGGTTAAAAAAAAAAAGGAAAAAATGTAAAGTCCATGCACAGGCAAGGGTGCCATCAGCAGTCACTATGGGAGGTGCACACACAAGCAGTGGTCCAGGAGGAAGGAGTCTCCACTCGGCTGACGGTGCCGGTGCCGGGGACACTGCTTCTTCAGGCGCAGCGGGACTGCAGCAGCCTTGCGCCGCATTCATGCCGGGCCCCCTTCCTCAGTTTTCTCTGGCAGCCCAGAAGGATCCTATTACAATTGAGCCAGCCACGCCGGGCTCCTCCCTATCCCTCCATACCCTAGGCTCGTACCCCCCTCAGGGCCTCACCACCCTTTCTGGAGGTGGACTAAGCCCTTGCTCCTGCCCCTCTGCCACATCTCTGCTCTCGTGTCACCTTCTCAGTGACACCCTGGTCACTCCATCTAAGCAGCAATCCCTCCCCAGCATTCCTATGCCCCTAACCCTGCTTTATTTTTCTCAACTTATTTTATGTAGTAACACCTACGTATGTGCTTCTTGCCTGTCCCCCAAAGCAGAGACTTCGCCTGGTTCATTGCTTGGGGGCCCCAAGGCCCAGATCGCCCTCCTCCAGGCCTTTGCCTTTACTCCCCTCCCACCTGGGGCCACCTTTTCCATCTCAAGCAGCGAATTCCTGCTTCTCTTTAAGGCTCCAGCTCACTAGTCACCTCCCCTGTGAGGTCCTCCCTGACTCCCCAGGCAGTCAGCGTCTCTCTCCTCTGGGCCCCACTAACACACCCTGACCACCTGAGCAGTGACTCTCTGGATCTGAAGACCCCTGAAGGTAGAGCGAGCTGGCTACCTGTGTCTGGTCCCTAGCAATACTGAGCCTCAGTCGGCCTTAGGAGATATTTGCTGAATGGCTGCAAAACACAGAGGAAACATCTATGGCCTTGGCATAGGGCCCCACCCCTCCATATCCTCCCACCTCTGACTTCACACCACCTACAGGGTCTTCAATGCCCTCTGTGACTTCACGCAGTTGGCCTGTGAAAGGCAACCAGATGGTCATCCAGGGCTGGCTACCAGGTCTTTCATGTCCACCGTGACTTCCAGGACCACAAGCCCTTTTGCGCCCACCATGCCTTCTCCACCTACGAGATCCTCAAAACCCAGCAGGTCTCTGGCATCCACTGGACCCTCGATGCCCACAGTATCTCCCAAGCTTCCTTCCTCCTCGAAGACCACTAAGTCAGCAATGCCCAACAGCTCTTCAGTGCCCACCAAGCCATCAACAGCCCCCAACTCGGTCATGAGCCCCAGCAGTTCCAAGTCCACCAAATGGGAAAGCAGAAAGACAGCCCCTTCTAATCAGCCCAGCAACAGGTCCCAAGTCTGCAGCAGGGCGAGAACATCTAGCAAGGCCAGCACCGACACCAGGGCCAGCACAACCAGCAAGGCTGGCGGGGTAAGACGCCCCCAGCGGAAGGGCACACGTAGCCGGGGCAGAACTCCTGGCCAAAGGGGAAGCCGCAACTCCAAGAGGTCACCCAGCAGGGTGAGGACCACTTCCCAGCAAAAAGAGAGAGGGAGGAAGAGTTATAGCCGGCCTAGAACCAAGAGCCGGGAAAGGAGTGAAAGCCAGCATAGAAATGTGAGCAGAGAGAAGAGTTACAGCCCACCAGGAACCTCAGGTATGGAGAAGAGTTCTAGGATGGCTGTAATCCCCAGTAGAGCAAAGAGTTACAGCCCCACCGGAACTCCCTTCAAGGAGACAGGTTACAGCCAGGCTCCATCGTCATGGAGAAGGGTAAAGAGTTATAGTCAGATGATCAGCTTCAGCATGGAACGGAGTTACAGCCCAAACGAAATATCCAACATAATCAAGAGCTATAATCAGGGTAGTGCACGAAGTCATAGCCGGTCTAGCTCCACCAGCAGGACCCGAAGTCATAGCCGGTCTAGAACACCCAGAAGGACAAGAAGTCGCAGTCAGAAGAGGACCCACAGCAGGGTAAGAAGTCATAGTTGGAAGAGAAATCATAGTAGGGCAAGAAGTCATACCCGGAAGGAAACTCCCAGCCAGATGAGAAGACATAGCCAGTCTAGAAGCTGTAGCCATGAAAAAAGTCAATACCATTCTAGAACCCCCAGCAGGGAAAGAAGTCATAGCCAGTCTAGAAGCCCCAGCACGGAGAGAGATAAGAGACGATCTAGAAGCCCTGGCAAGGAGAAATATTACAGACAATCTAGAAGCCCCAGCAAGAACAGAGGTCACAGACAATCTAGAATTCACAGCAAGGAAAGAGATCACAGCCGATCTAGAACCTCCAGGAAGGAAAGAGATCACAGCCAACAGAGAACCCCTAGAAAAGAGAGATATCACAGAAGGTCTAGAAGCTCCAGTAAGGAAAGAGATCACAGCCAATCTAGAAACTCTAGTAAGGAAAGAGATCACAGCCGATCTAGAAACTCTAGTAAGGAAAGAGATCACAGCCAATCTAGAAACTCCAGTAAGGAAAGAGATCACAGCCTATCTGGAAGCTTCGACAAGGAAAGAGATCACAGCCAAACTAGAAGCCCCAGGGAAAAGAGAGATCACAGTGGAGCTAGAACCTCTAGAAAGGAGAGAGATCATGGCCGATCTAGAACTTCTAGAAAGGAGAGGGGTCGCAGTCGATCTAGAACCCCCAGAAAGGAAAGAAAACACAGCCGAACAAGAAGCCCCAGCACGAGAGAACACAGCCAGTCTAGAATCCCCCCAAAAGAGGACAATCACAGCAGAGCTAGAACCTCCAGCAAGAGAGAGCACAGCTGGTCGAGAAGCCCCAGCAAAAAGAGCAATCACACCCAATCTACAACCCCCAGAAATCTCAGCCAGAAGGGATCCCCTAGCAGGGCACAGAGTCCCAGTCAGAATAGAACACCTAGTGAGACAAGGAGCCATTCTCCCTCAAGTTTTCTCAGTGGAGCTCCAATCCCGAGCCAGGATGCTATTCAAGCCAATGCCACTACCGCTAAGGCCGCCTCACCTGGAGAGAGGTCCTCATCATCTTCTTCCAAGCTGGCGTAGCCCCCAGTCTCAGCTGGCTCACGGGTCTCTGTCATGGCCAGAGGAGGGGACAGGAGACAGGAGCAGAGCAGCAGCTAGGCAGCGTCCCTCCCTGGCCAGCTCTTCCCAGAAATACCTCGGCCTTGAGTTCTCTAATGCAGGATGTCAGCAGGTAGAGGGATGCTGGACAGGGAAAGGAAAGGCCTGTGGTGACTCAATAAATTTTTACACAGCATCTGCCTCCCCAGGCTCAGCTATGTGCTCAGTGACCGGGAAAGGCAAAGACAGCCCCAGCTCTGTCCCTGAACTGCCTACTGGGCTTTGTCTGCATGCCCTGCCCCTGCGTAGGTCTTTATTTCCTCATCTGGGCAACAGAACTGTCTGTGGTTCTTCAATGGGGTGGGGAAGGATAACATTCCAAATATTTAAAGGTGGGTACTAGCAAGGGCACAAATCAGAACTGAGATGGGAACATGGTCCTATGCCACCCATTAATTTGCTAGTTGCTGGACTGTGGGAAAGTCCAGAGCTGGGGGAAGATCCAAAGTGGCATTTGGGGGTATGGATTACTTGTGTAGTGGTGATATACCAACTAGCCCAGAAGTATTTAAATATTTAAACAACTGGTATGGCTGTGCTAGTCTGTGAATGTCAGCTGTAGTTCTTCTTCTTCTTTTTTTTTTTTTGAGATTTTATTTATTTATTTTGAGAGAGGGGGTGGGGAGGGAAAAAGAGAGGGAAACATTGGCCTGCAACCCACGCATGTGCCCTGACTGGGAACTGAACCCACTACCTTTTAGTTTGCAGGCTGGCGCTCAATCCACTGAGCCACACCAGCCAGGGCCACAGTTTTATATTAATTTGTACTTTGGCAAGATAGCACCATATTTTGCCATATATAATGCACACCCATGTTTTTCGCTCAAGCTTATAGGGGAAAAAATCATTTAATTTTTAAATTCAATTATTTATTTACTTTTTAGAAACAAAACCGGTTATCATATTCTGGGATATTATTTTGCATACAGATAGTTACTGCTCTCTAGAATGACACTTTTAACACATAAGCATAAATAAAAGAATTAAAAACATTTATATAGATATGGAATTAGCACTACCCATGGGTAATGTGCACCGTTATTTGTCCCTCAAAAATTTGGGCAAAAAATATGCATTATACATAGCAAAATAAGGGTAGCTATGTTCGAATCCTAAATCTGCCATATTCTAATTGTGTAACTTTAAGCAAAGGACCTAACCTGTTTTCTTCAAAAAAGCACTTCAGGACTTAACTCGGTACTCCTCATAACCATGTTGAAACAGACTATCTCCTTTGTACAGATGAAGATACTGAGACACAGAGGATTAACAAGTAGCCCAAGATCACAACCACTGGTATGCCCATGGCCTAGGATTTGAAGCCACATCATCCTACCTCTCATAAAATGATCCCTCGGCTGAAAATATTTTTTGAAGACTCAGTAGATTCATTCACATAAGTTGCTCTTATGTGTCAAGTACTCAGTGGCTGTTACTATTCCCACTTCCAACTCTATAAACCCTAGCCCTTCCAGATTTCTCCCTCTCCCTGTGCACACCAGGACTTTTCACATCTGTGGGTCTTAGCAAATCCTGCTCTTCTTGTCTAGAATACCCTCTTGTCAACCTGGAGAACTCCTACCCACCTTCCAAAGCATACCTCAAACACGAGAATCTCTCTACTTCCTCCCAGCTCAAACACTACATCTGCCTCTACCGAGAAATCTTAACTCCTTTATCTCCCTCTTTACCAATCCCTTCCTAAACACACACACACACCCCCCACACCCACCTACCCTCAATCCCACTGCACTTTCTAATGGGGAGAAGCAAGCACAACAATCTAGGGAAGGTGCTGGCAGCCTCAGCTGCACCTCCTATACGCCAAGGCCTGTGCTGGGCACTAGGTATACAATAGTGGAAAATACACATCACCTCAGAGCCTGGAAGTCAAGTTTAATGCTGGGGACTAAAAATAAAGAGATTATGATAGACATCTAAAAAGAGGCTGGGGCATGGGGAGGGCTGGCATCAACGGCAGGGTAGTTTTCTAAAGACACCTGGATATGGGCTATAAGGACAGAGAAGATTCACAGTTAGCAGAGAACAGTTCTCATAATACCCTATTTCCTGTAGGGCTTCATTTAAGTGGGGAATTCTACTTTATGTCAGGATAAGGTTGCCAGTTTTGGTCAATAAAAACATATGACGGCCAGTTAAATATGAATTTCAGGTAATTATTTTATATGTATATTATGTTCCATGCAATATTTGGAATATACATTTGTTTACCTGAAATCAATTTTTTTCAACTGGCAACCATGCACCACGGACAATCAGGACTTCCCCTGAGGTTACCAGGAGACACTGCTCACCAGTCTAACCTACCCTTTCCCAAGCCCACACCACACAAGGCCCCTTCCACAGTATTCCAGAGTTCGGCCAGAGGCCTTCTTCGGCGCACAAGTCCCATTCCTGCAATGACTATGGCGGCCATTCTGGCTCCCAGGACTTTAGAGGGGCATATATAAGGCTATCTCCATACCATGTAGATGAGACCACACAACGTCCTGAGGTTAGAGCAGCCCACTCCCAAGATGCCCTGCGTGAACATAATAGGCAACCCTTCCCACAATGGTGGGGTAAGGCGGGCTGAGCAAAACGTTACACGGGACAATAAGGACCAGTCCCCACAATGCCCTGCGGCAACTCTTCCCAGGATGCCTCAGAGCTGTAACGACCACCTTCCAAGGTGCTCTGCGTCAAAGCACTCCAAGTTTTCAAGATGCTCAGCGGAGGGTGTGTGACAAAAGGGACCAGTTCCCTGCAAAGAACTAGGATAATCCTCCCCAGAATGCACCAGGCCCACAACGACTAGCGGACCGACTCCCACACGTTTAGGGCCGGGCGTCCTGTTTTCCCAGGATGCGCGAGAGCAGCACGGAGCCGCGTGGGGATAGAAAAGGAAGCCTCGGTCTCTCCCTCAGGCCATCACGGCCCACGACTGCTGCCGGCTCCTCAGTGACGGGAGCCGTCACTCCCGTCATGCAGCGGTGCCGTAGCGCCCGCTTCCCAGCATGCCCCGCGTACCTCGATCCCGGACACTCACCGGCGAGGGCGGCCCCCGCTCCGGCTCGGCGGCGGCAGCGGCAGCACGCCCGGGTTCGGCGCCTGCGCTGCAAGAGGATAGGAAGCGCGAGGGGCGTGAAGAGCCTAAGGCGCTTGCGCGGCGAGAAGGACCATTCCTAGAACAGTGTGAAGAGGGGATATGAACGAGGCTCACGCAGGGGGTTTCGGGCTTTGCCCCTCGCTGTCCGGGTTTACTTGGTACAGTCCGCAACCCGACAGACCAGAAATTGCAGGGCTCTCGCGTGCGTTGCTTTATAGAGATGGGATGCGCTGGGGGTAGGGGACGCCTGCTCGGTCTGAATCCCGGACCAGAGGTCTCCTTATTTGCATAATCTTAACGCGGGACAATGGGAGGCCTCGGGCACCGAACGGGCTGATTTGCATATTCCCCGGAGAGCTGTACTCCGGTGCGCAATGGTTATTAGCATTTGTGCGGCAGTTGGCAGGGGTGGGGTGGGGGGGCGGGGTCGCGCTTGAGCACAGCGCGTGCGCACTGGGACTGCGGACTAGCGTGAAGCAGGTAGCCTTGTTTTTAGTAGAGGTCAGTTTGCTTCCCGAGAGGAGGCGAAAGGACCAGGGTCTTTGCTAACCCTCATGGCCCTTACCAACCCTTACAATCCCCCACCCCCAGACAGGATAAATCTTTACTGCTCTTTTATGTGTCAGGCCCTGTGCTAGCAGGCACTATGGTTTCCGCAGTGAATAATACAAACCCGGCCCCTAGCCTCATGGAGCCGCAATCAGAAAGAAATCTACACATAATCAGAACTACGACCCGGAGTGGTCAGGCTTGTAATGAAGGAAGCACAGGAAGCTGTCGGGGCCAGAGGAGGTGCCTGCCCTAGCCCGAAAAGGCTTCCAGGAGGTGATGATCTTTAAGACAAGGATTAATCGAAGCCAACTGAAATTGGAGTCACTCTGGCAGAGGGAACAGCTATAGGCAAAGGCCTAGAAGAAGAAGAAGAAGAAGAAAGTATATGATTTGACTGAGGAAGTGAAAGCAGATAGTGTGACTAAAACCCAGAATTAGGGGAAAGTCTCCCGCAGGTGACATTTGAGTTCAGACTTTATGCTGAGGGTATCACAGAAGGTCCAGACTTCCTGGAAGTGACTCACATACCAGCTGAATGGGATCCAGTTATACTTAGAAAAAATCCAAACTCTTCATCGTGATCCAGGGGCTATACACATGGCCTTGTCCTATTTGTCTGACCTCACCTGCCTCTCCCTTTATCCATTCTGGACTAGCTCCACTTCCCATCAAACACCCTAATCTCTATCACCTCAGGTCTTTGCCCATAGCTGTTCCCTTTGCCTGAAAATGCTTTTCCCTCCGATCTTCAAATAGATGCTGTTGTACTAGCCATATCTTGGCACACATGTCAATCTGGGAGGCTTTCCCTGGTTTTTTTCCTTCTAAAATAGCACCTCCAGATTTGCTTTAGAGAAGTGAGTGGGGTTGTGGATAAAGCAGGCTTAGCAGTGAGTTGATGGTTTTTGAAGCTTGGGTGGAGACTGGATGGGCTTCATTGTCCTGTTCTGTCTACTTCGGTGTTTGAAGTTTTCCATAAATTAAACATATAATAGTACCCATATAATAGTACTCCACATCATCTTCCTCTGCATTTTTTAATGACAACCTGAAATTAAGTTCTTTTTTCCTTGTGAAAGCTTCACGAGGGTAAATATGGAGTCACTCTTTTTCACTTTGGGGCCTCAGTACTTAGAACAGGATCACATTTAAGATAGTGCTAAGCTGTCTGGAACACCTGATACTTGTCTGTTTTATTCACCATAGCATCTCCTAGATCTTTGAGCAGCACCAGGCACAAAATAAGAGGACAATATATTTTTTAATCTAAAATTAGAATCACTCAATTTAAAATTTAGAAAAATGGAATGAGGGGTCTGGAATACCAGGATAAGGAGCTTTGACTGGATCTAGAGGTGATGGGGAGAAAGGATAAGGTTTTGAAAAAGGCAGGATAAGGGTGAGATGTGACTAATTGAAAGCTGCCCTAGCCCTGGCTGGTGTGGCTCAGTGGATTGAGTGCCAGCTTGTAAACCAAAAGGTCATTAGTTCAAGTCCCAGTCAGGGCACATGCCTGGGTTGCCAGGTCTCTGTGTGTGAGAGGCAAATGATAGATATTTACTCTCCCTCTCCTCCCTTCCTTCCGCTCTTGCAAATAAAATCTTTTTTAAAAAAGAAAGTTGCCCTGGAGACTGATGTCTTTGGTGGGGGTAAACCAGAGGAAGGATGACTGTGGGGATAAGAATCTCAATAGGGAACTGAAGAGGTAAGACCCTGTGACTATTTGGCTGAAGGAATGTCTAGGAAAACAAATCCCACATTTTCCTCTCTAGGAGGGTAAGGTGCCTCTGGTGAGGTAAAAACCTCTTGGCCTATATGATTCATCAGTGACTCCCGTCCCTTAGTTCAGTTCCCCTCCCAACATGGTGCAGCTCTGGGCAGAGGGACAGACACACAGCCACCCCAAACGTGTTCTCTCCTCAGTTTAATGGTGGTTAGTGGGATTGCCAAACCCCCTCCCCATTCCCCTCCCCGCCCCGTACAAAATATTGTGTGTGTGTGTGTGTGTGTGTGTGTATGTGTATTTTGAACAAGAAAATGGGGGCAAAAGCCAGGAATTGGGGAGGGGGCAAAATCTGATATTTTCATACAGATTTTTGATTTTTTTAATATATTATATATAAAACCATAGAGACCAACATACCCCCCTAAACTCCTTTTCCTCTCCCTGGGGGGCCTGGAGGAGAGATGGGGAAGGCACCCCCAGGAGTGGGTAGACAGACAAATATAAGTGGGACAGATGTGGGGGGAGGAGGTGGAAGGAAGGGGAGCCCAGGAACCTGGGGAAGGGGGTTGGAGAAGAGGGCTGGGGCTGTCTCCCTCACCTCCTCCATCAAAGCTATGACACAAAGACACAGAATCCCTGTTTCCACACCCTCCCTCCCACCCTCACGCCCACCGTGCAAACATGGCTTTGCAAAGAGGTGCCCAGAGCTCTGTGGAACTCCTACAATGGCTGGCATGGGGTCTGGGACCCCCAAAGAAATCTGTGTGTCCCCCTCCCTGCCCACCCCACCCTTCCCCAAATCTGATCCCCTCCCCACAAGACCTGGTTCTGCAGCCTAGGGGCCCTGGCCTTCCCCCACTTATCTTCCCTAACCCAATCCCTACCACCCTCCCTGGACTTGGGGGATTTGGACCTTTGGCCCCTGCCCCCTGGGGGACCCAGATCTCTGGGACCTTGCTTCTGGCCCTGGCTGAGACCCAGGCATCTGACACCCCCATCCCTGCCCAAACGTCTGAGGTGTTAGTGGTGGGAGGAGATGCCCACCATCCCAGACTCTGGTAAATGTCTTTGCAGCTGGCAGTGGGGTGGACCCCAGCCCAGGCCCAGGCCTGGGGTAGAGGTGGGGTCAGATGAAGAATTCTTCTTTCCTCTTGTGTCCGTCGCTGCCATTGAGGAAGGCTTCTCTTGCTTCTCCCTGCTCATCCAAACCACTGGCCTCGTGGGTCAAATAGGAGCCTGAGGAGGTGACAGAACCCCGGTCAGAAGAGACATATATGTGAAGCCAGGAGTTGGACAGAAATATATGGGAAGAAGGAGACAGACAAGAGATATCAGATGAAGGAAGAGGGAGAAACAGAACATGGAGGGGGAGTCAAGACCATGGAATAGTAAAATGGGCAGAGAAGGGTAAAGCAGAATTAGGAAGACGCCCAAATTCACATAAAGATCAGCCCTTATTCGTTCTATTGGTGATATCCCCTTGCTCTGTTCCCAATGAATCCAGCAATTAGGAAGATACATCGTTCAACTGACACCCACGGCCTTACTTCCACTTCAATGTTTCACCCCTTCTGGTCATGGGCGAAAGACCCATCCCCCTTCGAATCTTGACTTCAGGTCCCTCAGGTTTTGGAACCCTGGGTCTAGACTGCCATCTCTCGAATTTAGACTCTAGGTCATGCCCCCTTCCCAATCCCACAACCAACCACCCCTCTAGCTGAATTCAGACCCCGTCCCCACTCACCCTTCTGCCGGACCGAGCACCAGACCATGCCCACCAGCACACATATGATCAAAAACACCAATAGCGCCAGAATGCCGCCCACAATGGCGTAGGGCACCGACGTCTGAGCCTCTACCACCGCACCGGGGTCTGCCAGAGGAATAGGGCACAGGACAAGTGTCAGAGGACAGTCCCAGCTCAACTCCTTCGCTGCCAACCTGTTAAACCATTCTCTAACTGTGCCCCTTAACATGTTCCCCCCTTCTAATTCCGGCCACCTGGTGGGCCCTTCTCATGGCTTCCCTCTTTCCTGAAGCTCCACTTCCTCAAGGAATGCACGTTGATTTGTATACTGCCCCACAGGCCCCTGAGTCATTTTGCTAATACCTTCCCTGACTCCTTTCCTCACCCCCCCCCCCCGGGGAACAGAAACAGCACATCTCTTTTGACTCTGTTTCTTCCCACATGGAAACTCAGGTCCAAGTCCCTTACCATCTTGTCTAAAACGCTCCAGGTATTTAAAACGCTAGCTAGAGCCCAAACACTTGCAAAATTCCTGCTGCACCGTCTTAAGAGCTACACACATAACACTTGCTTTTTGCTAGGGGCCATTCCAACCACTTCATATACTTAGCTCATGTAATCACACACGCTGCGACAGGTGCTATTGTTTACTTCCACTTTACCGATGAGCAAACTAAGGCGCAGACTACGTCACTCGCAATAGGATGTTACAGAGCGGAACCTGAACCCGCACGGTCAGTCTGGCCCCAGAACTGTAAGAACTTTGTGCGCTGTTCACTCCCTGGAATCACTTCGCACAGGCCGCGCCCCCCCCCCGGACCCCGCCCCCCCGCCACGCATCCGGTACGCAACGCAGGGACCCCGGTAGACCCCGCCCAGCCTTGAGCCTCGCCCCCAGGCCTGCGGCAGCCGGCACTCACCGTAGACCACGAGCACATAGAGCGCCCTCGCGTGGCCGTGCTTGTTCGACGCCTCGCAAGTGTAGGTGCCATTATCTGCAGATACCAGCCCAGGCAGCGTAAGCGTCTCGCCGACCGCCTCCGCCCGCTCCGGCAAAGACTCATTCCCGCGGTTCCAGCGGATCTGATTCGGCCTGGACGGGGGGTAGAGTGAGAGTTAGGGACGCAGGTGCCAGCACCCAATTCAGACTTCTCAGGAATCTAGATATGCAGCATCTCCAAATAAGAGGGTCCCGACTACCCCTTTTCTTCTAGGGGTCTCGGACCTCAGAGCTCACCTGGGATTCCCTGTTATAGCACACGTCAGCACCAGCGTGTCTCCCTCCCTCACCACAGCCTGGGAGGCATGGATCCGGGCCGTGGGGGAGTCTGTGGGCAGAAGTGACATGGGAGAGTGATTGTCAGGACCATCACGAGGGGTTAGAAACCCTCCCGAGGTCGGACGGCTGGCGTTGGGATCCCCCCACCACCGTCGGGTCTCTGCCCACCGGGCACTTACACTGCACATCCAGCACGTACTGCGTCTGCTTGCTGTGTCCCGAGGGCAGCGCCTGGTTCTGCGCCTCGCAGATGATGATACCGCCGTCGTCCTTGCGGTCTACACGGAACCTCACAGTGCTCTTCACGCTCCACACCTTCCCATTTTCCTTGCTGCTGCTCACACCTGCCACGCCCCGACCCGACCCGACACCTTCAGTCCAGGATTCCGGGCCCCCCCCCACCCCAGCCAATCCCAAAGCAGGCAATTTGCTAAGCTCCGCCCCTGAGTGACAGGCCTCGCCTCTAGTTTCCAAACCACTAGCCTCCCCAACCAAGCCCGCAATCCTGAGTGCCTCTTCCCAAAGCTCCTCTCTCTTTCACGCCCACGCTGTCTCATCTCTCAGTGTATTCAATAGCTACATATTGCTTGGATGACATCTCCCAGACCTGTGCGCCCTGCCCGCACTCCAGTCTTTCATAAGCCCCGCCTCGTGGAATCCCACTCCTCTCAAGCCCCGTCCCTCGCTGGCACCTTCCCTACCCCTCGTACCCTACTTCGGGTACTACCTTTCAGCTCCTTGCGGTCGCGGTACCAGCGCAGGGCGGCGGCAGGCCGAGACCGAGGAACCAGGCAGCTGAGCTCCACCTCGCCGCCCTCCACCGCCTGCTCCCGGACTTCCACCACAGGATTCTCTGGGGCCACTGCCGCAGGGAAAAGGGGGTAAGGGAGAAGGTCAGAGGAGGCATCCAGGTGGGTTCAAAGTGGACAGGCTGCGAGATTCCAGCGATCAAAGGGAACAAGGGTCAAACATAGAGTCCAGAGGTCAGGAAAGCCTCCCACATTGCCTGGGCCCAGATGTTCAGGAGGTTAAAAACAGCCAGGGTCCGGCCTCAGGATAAGGGCTAAGCAGGGGAGAAAGGAGGAGGGGATAGGTTGGAGGAGGGGAAAGTGGTTACCCAGCACAGTGAGCGTGGCAATCTGGTGGTGGGTGTCCTCCGTGTAGAGCTGGCAGAAGTAGCCCCCCTCGTCTTCCAGGCGAGCATCTGAGAGTCGGATCCTCACTCTGCGAGGGGAGAACTCCTCCAGCTGGAAACGCTCATCCTTCAGGGCTAGAGGGAGGGACGAAGCAGGAGTGAATCTCGGGAACCCTGGCCCCAGGAGTTCCATCCTTCCTCCAGGAGCTTACAGTCCAGCCATACCTATGTGTCTATGTGCCCACCAATTACTCCCTAGGGGACCCAGATTGACTCAGGCCCTCCCACCCACGGGAGTAGGAGTCCAAACCCCCAGCTCCATGCTACATGAGGACCCAGGAGCCCAGGCCCCCAGTCCCTCCCTCCCTCAGGCCAGGGGATCCAGAGTCTCGGCTCTGCCCTCTTTCTGGTCACAGGAATCAGGCCCCAGCCCTCCTCCTTCAAGACTCAGGATTTCGGACCCCAGCACTCACCGCGGGTGCCATTGAAGAAGAGGGTCTGCCGGGCTGGGTTCTGAATGACAACTATGGACCCATCATACTGGTGCAGACGGCAGGTTATCTCGGCCACCCCTCCCTCAGCCACTGTCACATTCTCTGCCTGTACTTCCTGTCCTGCTCCTGGATCAATAGGCAGAGAGACAGGATAGGAGACTTGTTGAGGGCTGCAATTCAATCTTTGCTCTCTCCTATTCCTCTGCCATCCAAACCTCCGACCCCTCTCCTTCCCCCTCGCATCCGCTTTGTCACATCCAACTTTTCCCGCAGGCCGGCTAGAGTCCAGGAGATGGACTCTATAGGGGGATGCACAGGGCACACTGGGAGCCCAGAGGAAAGGGAAGCAAACGCTGCCTAGGGACCCCTCCTGAAAGTGGCCAGAGGTGACCTCTGAAAATCGTTCACTCTTCACTTGACCCAGAAAACCCCATAAAATCACGCAAATCAAGGGGTTCAAATCTTTGTGTTCACTTGAAGAACACTCATGACACTGCCCAGGCCATCAAGGGTACATATATTCAAAAAGCCACCAAGGACATGAAGGATATCACTTTACAGAAGCAATGTGTGCCATTCCATCATTACAACGGTAGAATTGATAGGTGTGTGTCCAGGCCAAACAGTGGGTCTGGGCACAGGGTGGTGGCCCAAAAGGACTGTTGAATTTTTGTTGCACATGCTTAAAAATGAAGAGAGTAATGTGGAACTTAAGGGTTTAGATGGAGATGCTCTGGTCATCGAGCACACCCAGTGAACAAAGCTCCCAAGATGCAGCACAGAACTTACAGAGCTCATGGGCAGATTAACCCGTACATGAATTCTCCCTGCCACACTGAGATGATCCTCAGTGAGAAAGAGCAGATTGTTCCTAAACTGGAAAAGGAGGTTGCACAGAAGAAAAAGATACTCCAAAAGAAATTGAAGAAACAAAAACGTATGGCCCAGGAGTAAATTCAGCATAAAATAAACACTAGTAAAAGTTAAAAAAAAAAAAAAAAAAAACTGCTTAGGAAGATGGATGATTAGAGAAGGTTCTGGAAGAAAGCTCTATTGGATCCAGATCTTGAGTAAACAGTTCACAGGCATGGGAAACTGCTATGTGTTCACCAAACCGCATCTTTTACGCCTGGGCACATGCTGTAGCTCATCTGCAGAGATGACCACAACACTCTTCCCGTCCCCTTATGTGCCCTTTGTAAGGTGACTTTGCTGCTCTGCCCATTACGGAGGCACTCAGACCCTAGGAATCTGTACAGGCCTTGTGACTTGCTTTGACCAACAGAACTTGCTAGAAGTGATATATTATATTGATATGAGTTCTGGAGCCTAGGCCTCAAGAGACCTTGCAGCCTCTGCTCTTGCCCTCTTGCTGCCCTGAGACTGTCAAGTGAAGATGCCTGGACTAGCTTCCTTGACGATAAGAGACTGCGTGGAGGGAGAAGCCCAGCCAACAGTCAGTGCTACCTCCTGGTCCTGTGAGTGAGGCCATCCTGGACCATCTAGCCCCAGGGAGACCACCAGATGACTGTAGCCACATGAGGGACCCCAGGTGTGGAAAGAACTGCCCAGCTGATCCAGTCCAAATTGTTGACTCCAGAGTCATGAGCAAATAACATGATTGTTTAAAGCTACTAAGTTTTAGATGGCCTGTTACACCCTTAAATTTAACTGGTACAACACATGATTAGACTATATTTGCCAGCGTCCCTTGTACTTAGCCATGTGACTGACTTCTAGCCAACGGGGTGCAAGTAGAAGAGAGAAACACCTCTTCCAGACTGGCTCATCTCACATCCTTCTCTCCCCCACCCCCCCTCACTCACATCCCTCTTAATGGCTGAATGGAGAGGACTCCAGGGAGCCCAGAGGAGGATAGGATCACAAGCTTGGGAGCCTGGGCCCCTGACTGGCTGCCCCCGTGACTTGTCTGCACGGAACTGTAACCTGAGTGAGAAATACACTTTTTTTTTTTTTTTTTTTTTGGTAAAGCCACTGAGATTTCAGGGCTGTTTGTTATAGAAGTTAACCAACCTGATTAACCCGGCAGAGGAACAAGGTAGGCAATTAGTAAGGGGGTGTGTTTTCAGCAGAGGAAACAACCTGGAATAAAGCTCAAAGCTGAGATTAATCAGCAGCAGCATCACCATCATTATGGTGTTTCTTTCATCTTCAAAATAACAACCACAACAGCCACTGTTTATTAGGCACCTGCTGTCCCAGACTCTGGGCTGAGGGCACCAGCTATATAATTTCCATTTAATCATCACAGTATCTGAATAAGGTAGGCACCATTATTAATCTCCAGTTTTCTTCCAGTTCCCATTTTACAGATGAGAAAATTGTTCCAGAGAAAATGACTTGCTCAAGGTCACATCCCAAGCATCCAGATCTCTCTGATTCTATATCCTAGGTCTACATCCACTCCTGGCTGTACAGGTGCAAAGTGTCCAGCACTGGTGAGGGTTTGTGGGATGCGCTGGTGGAGGGCCTCAAACGCCAAGCTAGGAGATTAGCTTTTATCCTGAAGGCCAGTGGAGGTTTGGAGCATGAATGAGCCAGAATCACATCTGGTTATTTACCTTTAAATGTTGGATAACTATTGCTTCATGTCTCTTACAGTCTGTCTCATTCATTTATTTGAGTATTTCCCAAGCAGTGGGTAGGTTTTCCAGGGCTGGATGCCCAGAGATGAGTCAGCTGAGGTCCCTGTCCTGGAGGGCCTTTCAAGATTTATGGGGAGGTAGACACAACTCACTGTAATATCCCACCAAAAGTGTAATGTTCCCTGTAGGAAAGATAGGTAACCTCATTTGGGGGGCGAGGGGTGGAAAAGATTAATTCCAGGGGATGAAAGCAGAGAGAGCTAGCTTCCTACCCCAACATCCGTGCTTCCCTTTCTCCTTAGCAAAAGATCCCTGATTGTATTTTATGGTTGCCCCGTGCCGAGCGGAAAGATATACTTCTAAGACTGTCTTGCAGCTAAGTGAGGCCATGTGAAAGTTTTGTCCAATTAGATGTAAGACGAAGTGTCATGTGATAATTTGAGGAGCATTGCCTAAAAGGGGGAGACAAGTACCTTGTCCACCAGGTCACTTTTGTGCTGCTTGGGACTAGGATGTGATGCCTATAGAGTTCTGGCAGCCATGTTGGACTATGAGGACAAGGGCCCAGGGAGGGTGGAACCAAGAGGTGGAAGATGCCAGGGTCTCTGGTGATGATGTAGAGCTCCCATTAAAACCCCTGGATGCCTACTCCTGGACTTCTCTTATGTCTGAGTTTAACTTTTTGTGTTTTTCAGCTCTATTTTGGGTTTATATAGTACCTCCTGAAATATCAAGCTTCACATGTCCAATCTAAATGTCTTCCTCTTCATGTTTTCTCAATCTCTGTAAATGTCACAACCATCTACCCAGTTGCTTAGGCCAAAAATCTAGAAATCATGCAAGTTCTCACCATGTCCCTCATCGCTAACATCTATTCGATCAGCAAGATCTATCCATTCCACCTCTGAAACATATCCCGAATCTATTCACCGTTGTCTACCTCTTCTACCATAACCCTAGTCCAACTGCACTATCTCTTACTTTGACCTTTAAGAGCTACTCATGGTTCTCTTGCTTCCGTGCCTACTTTCTACCAGGTCCTTCTCCACACAGCAGCTAGATGGGTTTTCCAAAAAGGTAAATCAGATCAACTCACCTCTCTGCTTAAAACCCTTCGACAGCCGTCCATTTCACTTGGAATAAAATCTACATTCCTTCCCCGGGCCTTCAAGATGCTCTGCGACCGGGCCTCTCTCCGGCCGCAGTTCCAATCACCGTCACTTCACTCTAGCCTCCCTGGCCTTGATGTGCTTCAGATACGCTGAGCTTGTCACCACCTCAGGGCCTTTGCACTTGCTCTTTCCTTTGCCTGGAATGTTGTTTCCCCTTCATCATCCCAGGACTGTCTGCTGTTCTTATTTGGGTCTCTGTTCACAGCAACACCTCTTCGGAGTGACTTTTTCTCCCCATTCCTTCCCCTCCAGAACACTTTCTATTTCATCACCATTGTTTTATTTTTCTATGGAAATTTCACTGAAGTTATTTTATTAATTTGCTCACTTGTTTATTGCCTGTCCCCCAGCACGACAATATACACCCCATGAAGCAGGGACACAAGCCACTGATTGGGTTTACTGCTGTACCGCTAGTGCCTAGAAGTGTGCCTGGCACTAGATAAATGTCTACAGATCGAGGACTGAATGAATGGCATGTGTCAGGCAGGACCTCATTTCAGCCTCCCAACAACTTTGTGACATCGCTATTCTCATCTCAAACACCTGGGTTGATCCCAGCCGGACCACTTGCCGTCTGTGTGATCTTGGGCAACTGGCTTAACCTTCCTGAGCCTCGGATGGCCCGCCTGTGAAATAGGGATGATGCCAGCGCCTGCCCCATAGGGATCAGCCCAGTGCCTTGAGCTCAGGGAGCCGTCTCTGCAAAGCTGCTATTATTTCAACCCCCAGAAACTTGCCCATGCAATGAAAACCGGCCTGCCTGCTCAAATTGGTGCTTTAGAAAAAAAAAAAATTTGAAGCCTGTCCACGGATCCTAGACCTCAGGGTCAGTTTAATGCTAGGCCCCCCATTTTACAGATGTGGAGAATGAGGCTCAGGGGTCCCAGGCAAGGTAGTGGCAGAAACTCAACATCTCCGGAGAGCCATCGGGACCTCTGGATCTGCCCCCCCAAAATTTGTCCCCTGCTCTCTGCTTGAGGGTGCACATGGGGTGAGGGTGGGGGGCTTTTGTCTTATTCCCTCCCCCTCCTGAAGATTCAGTAACCAACAGTGTCTGTGCCTGGAATATTAATGTCCCAGGAGCTTTTGTTTCAGGGTTGGGGGTGGTGAGGCGGGACTTTCTGATCAGAGAGGAGTTGAGCTTTTGGGACTAGGGCACTGGCCCTTTAAACTGTGTTGACAGCTTGGAGTCGTCATGGGGATGGTGCCTGGAAAAGGGACGGGAGGGTCTGAGAAAGAGTGGCTGAGCAGGTGACAAGTAGAGACCCAGAATCCAGCACTCTGCCCTCTCAGACCCAGGAATCCAGCCCCAACTGCCTCCTCTCCCAGGAGCCAGGAGTCCAGGCTCCTAGTGCCCTCTTCCATCAGGACCCAAAAGTCTGGGTTCTCAGCATCTTCCTCCCTCAAACCCAGAAGTCCCCAGGCACCAGCCTCTCTCCCCTCAAATTCAAGAGTCTGGGCCTTCAGCCCCCTCCTCCTTCAGGACCCAGGAGCCAGGGGTCCAGAGTACACAGCTGGCGGATGTTTCCACGGAAACTAAGCGGGGTGGGGGAGCACTTCCTGGGTCCTGAGTCAGCGAATACACACGGGAGTCTCAAGGTCACGGTTCCAGGAAGGTCACAGCCACCCCCTCCGTATCCGCTCCCCAGGAGGCTCTGTGGCATCATGCCTCTATCCCCTACTTCCTCCCCTGGGGAGGTGGTACATCCCTACGTCCTGACTGAACCCCCCCTCAGCCCCCCATCAATGGCGGAGTCCGAACATCCTTGCACAAAGCATCAATTCTTCCCCAGCTCAGCCTTCTGAAGGCGCCTGTATTCACAGGACCTAGGCGTCAGGGTCCCACCCCCTCCTCCCTCAGAAACCTGGAGTGGGACCCCCAGCCCTGTCCTCTCTCAAGACTCAGGAGTCTATGCTCCCCACCCCTCCCTCTCTCAAGACCTAGGAGTATGAAACCCCAGACTCCTTCTCTCTCAGAACCCAGGAGTCCAGGCCCGCGGGCCCCCCTCCTCAGACCTAGGAGTCTAAGACCCAGCCCCCTCCTCCTTCAGACCCTGAAGTCCAAGACCCCAGCCTCTCCTCCCTCTGACACACGTGTCCAGGATGCCTAGCTTCCTCCTCCCTCAGACCCAGGCGCTCAGGACCCCGGCTTCCCCCACTCTTCTGGAAACTTTCGACTCCAGGTCTGCAGTCCTCAACTCCCCGCACCACAGTCCTGCCTTCCCCTGGCCCCCTGTGCCCCTCCTACCGGAGACCAAGCATCAGGTGGGGGCAGAGGGGTGAGTCAGCAGCCTCACACACAAAGTGTCCCCTGTGGCCCCCACGTTCCTCGGATATTCAGAACTCCCTGGATTCCAGGCTTTAGGCCCAGGCAGGGGGTGGGGGAGTCCTCTGGAGATTCCCCCTGGGTTGGGGGTCAGGGGAGAAATTCCTGCTCCGGGAAGGGTGCAAGCCTGCACTGAGTGCCCACTGTCCTATCCTCCACCCCCGGTGCCCTCTCTTCACCCCCCCTCCCAGAAGGGCCCAGGCTCTGCTGCTGCCCTCTTGCCCTACTGGGCGCCTGCGGAGGAGCCTTGGTGCCTGGTTCCCAGAGGCCCTAGGGGCCCGGGGTCTGCACAGGCAGGAACCAGTGGGTGCTTGGGTCCTGGTGCCACAGGCCAATGAGCGCTGGCAAGCCTGACTGTCTCCAAGTCCCCCCCGCCCCACCCAGAGAGAGAAAGCTGTCTTTGTGTTCCCCAAGACGGGGACAGGCCAGGCTCGCACGACATTAACCCACCCAGGCCCCAGCCCTGCTGTGTCTAAGGTCTTGGAATCCTGTAGAATCTGACCCCAACTATAGGGACTTAGGCAACCGACTCATGGGTGGGTGGGGGTCAGTGACAGAAACCTCCCAAGACCTGCACCCGGGGCTGACTCGCACTGCGGGGAAGGCCCCCCCCCCCCCTTTCTCGGAGTGACTGGTCAGAACTTTAGCAGGGAAAAGTGAGTCATTTGGGAGGAAAACATTATTTGGGATCAACAAGCTCCCCCTTCACAAAGCCCCTCAACTCTAACAGCCTCTCTATCTTTTCTTTGTATCTGGATATGTTTCCTCAGCGCCCTTCCGTTCCGGTTCCTGGCCTATGCATCTCTCTGCCTGCCTGTGTGCATCTCTCTGCCTGCCTGTGTGCATCTCTGGACAGACAACACATCTCTCTCTCCCACTTCCTCCCGCCTGCCCACCTGGACCCTTCTTTCTTTTGGCATAAATCTCATCATCTTCTGCTATTCGTGGCAGATGAGGGAGCCAAGAAAGAGAGAACACATTTTTGAAAGGACACAAACGGACGCCATCTCCTGTCCCTACTCCTGCTGGCTGGGCAAGGTGAGAGAGGAAGGAGGGTGACTAAAAGGGAAATGTGGGGACCATGCACACCCCCTGAAATCTAGTGGCCAAGGCCATTCAGAAGCAGCCAATGAAAAGGAAAGCAGACAGGGCCCTCTGAGATCATGTACTCCAGCTCCTTTGCCCCATGCTTTGCAGAAGAGGAAAGCGAGGCTCAGAGAGTGCCGGGGGCTGATACATGAGTACCCCACAGAGGACTGGTTCCCTGGCTCGCGGCCCAGAGTGCTTCCCATGACACCAGCTGTCCCCCAACTTTAAAGCCCCACGATTCAGAGAAAGTTAACAGACGAGATTAGAGTACCAGGGTGCAGGGACTTTAAATAAGGAACAAACCTGTAAAGCTAACCTCCCAGAAGTGCTGAATAAAAGACTCTTGAACTGAGTAGGTGGTCATCTTAGGCTATCTTCTGATCCTGAGACTCCGAAATCCCACAGGTCTAAGCTGTCAAGATTCTACATGTCAAAGACGTCAAAATTCAGGATCTCCAAGAGGCTAGAATGCTAACGCTATCAAGGTTCTAGAATTTTAAAGGTATCAAGATTCTAAAGATTTTGGGATTCTAGAGTCCTAAAGATATCAGTGTTCTAGAATACCCTCAGGTTCTCTGTTTACTGGATTCGTTGGATCTAGGATTCTGAGGCTGGTTTTTAGGGCCTAAAAAATGAAGAAAGGAAAATAAAATTCAATGGAAATGTAGCTAAGGTACCAAAGTGCTCATCTGGGAAATTGTGGCATGCCTGTCGCAAAGAAAGAAGGTAATGAGGCAGGTTCTGAAGCAATGGCAGAAGTCTACAGAAGAATGCAAGATAGAGGGTGAAAGGTCAGCTTTGCCCCTCACCTTGTCAGGGGTTCAAGCTGGAGTTCCTTCCCTTTCAGATCACTGAGTTCAACTTCCATACTTTATAGAGAATGAAACTGAGCCCTAGAGAGAGGAGGGTGCCTGCCATCAGTTGCTGGGGCAAGTGGCACAGAGTCCGGATTTACCCCCAGGCCCCCAGCCCTGTACCCTCTGGTTACACTCCTCTCCCAAATCGCCACAGAACCTCCATCCCTCCCATTTATGCCCAGCCACCGCCCAGTCCTCCATTCCTCCCAAGAGTGGCTTTACCCACCGGGGAGGAGGTGGCCTGTGGCAGGTTGGAGGCACACAAGTGTGAAGGTATGAGTGACATTTCCTGACCTTGTCCCCAGTCTCAGGTTCACCCTATCTTGCAAGTCCCCAGCTTTTTCCCCAGAGTGTGTTAAAGGTACGGGGATGGCTCCCCGGGCGTTCTGGAGGGGGCTTCTCTGTAAGTCGTGGCCTGGGCGTGTGAATGGATGGGGATGGGCAGCACCGGGGACGCATTTGCTGAATGCACGTGTGTGCCCACATGCCAGGGTCCACCACACAATTCTAACCCCCCACCCCCAACACACATTTCTCCAAGGCCCTTTAGGGTGCCTGTCTGACTCAGTTCCTCTCCAGGGGCACAGAGTGATAGAGAGATGGAGGGACGTAGCATGCAGATGGGGATCCCAGGATGGAGGTGGTAAGGGCAGAGAGGGGGCGCAGAGAGACGGGACCGGGAGACAGTGGGACAGATAGAAAGGGATGGGGGATGAGCGAGATGGGTGACAGGGGGAGCTAGAGAAAGAGAAATGACAGAAAGATTAGGGGCCGAGAAACAAGGGGATGGGACAGATGAGGGACAGAGGAAAAGGAGCAGAAAAACAAGGGTGACAACAAGACAGGGGCAGAGAGGGAGAGCAGAAATGCAGAGGGACAGAGAAGAGGGAATAAAGAGGATGATGGGGGACAGAGTGACCCATTAGAAGGGACAGAGACCAAGGGACAGAGGTGGGGGACAAAGACAGGATAGAGAGGTGGGGGAGAGGGGCAGACGGGGTGGGGGGCGGACAGGACTTCGAGACTGAGGGACAGAGGACAAGGGTAGGGGGACAAGGAGAGAGACTGAGGGACTCAGAGACAGGCGGACAGAGGGACGCAGAGAGCGGACAGAGGGACAGCGGGACCGGCCCGGAGAAGGCGGGCTGGGAGGAGAAGGGGGGTGTCTCGGGCCCTTTGTCCCCGCTGGGATCGGGGCCTGTGCGGGGTGGGGGAGCTGCGGCACGGCGGCCGGGGCGCGCGCCCCCTCCCCCGCTCGCGGCTCCCGGCTCCCGGCCCGCGCTGCGCTTTGTCCCGGGGAGGGGGCCCGGCCCGGCCCCGCGCGCATTGTTCGGCCTCTGCGGCCCCGCGGCGGCCGGGCTGTCACCGCGGCGCGCCCCCCGCCCCGGCCCGGCCCCCGACCCTACCTGGCCCCGCCGCGGCCGCCCACAGCAGCAGCAGCGGCCACTGGAAGCGCCGGGCCCGGCCCATGGTGCCGCCGCTGCCACCGCCTGCTCCCGGCCCGGCACCTGCACCTCCCGCGCAGCCCGCCCCGCCCCCGCCCCGCCCCCTACCCGCCCGGAGGCGGGGCTCCGGGGCCGGGGCGGGGCCGGGGCGGGGCCGGGTTGGGGGCGGAGGGGCAGATGGCGAGGCCAGAACGCGCCGCAGGACCCTGGGGCGAGAGGACACCGGTGGGGAGGCGGTGGGGCGTGCAGGGGAGCGTGTGAGCGGGACAGGGCTGAGGAAAGTGTGCGGTGCTGGGTGAGGGCAGAGGTAGTGGGTGTTGAGCCAAAAAGTAGGAGCGTGTAGGTGTGTGCGAGGGTAAGAACGCAGTGTGAAAGTGTGTGTGAAGGTGAGTGTGCATGTGAAAGGGGAGGGTGTGAGGGTGTTGTTGGAAGACTGTGCGCAGGGACAGGTGTTGTGTGGGGGTAAGGGGTGGGGGGCAGTCACTGTGTGTGAAGTTGGGGTGTGTGAGTGGGTGTGTAAAGGGGAGACTGTTGTGTGAGGAGAGGGTGTGAGCATTGAGGGACGGAGCATGTTTCGTGGGAGAGGTGAGCGTGAGAAATGTGTGGACAGGTGAGCGAGGGTGAAGGTGTCACACAGGACGGACTGGGAGGTGAGCCACCTTGAGAGGGAAGTCAGCAGCTTCGCGTTTGGGCAGGTCCAAGACCCCCCAGGGCAGGGCAGGGCAGGGCTGGGCTGGGCTGGGAGCACGGCCTGGGTCAGATCCCACCCTCCCTCCTATCCTGACCCGAGAACCCCGTGTTTCCGCATCATTACGGGGAGGGGCCCCCCGAAAGTGAACCAACTGGAAGGAAGCCTGAGTCCTGCCTGACTCTCAGGGAGGGAGAGGCTCCTGTGGACACACCCCAGGCCTTCAGTCCAGCCACCCCACCCCCTTCCCTCCTCTTCCTGCCTTGTCTCTCTTTGTGCCCCTGTCTCTCTGTGCCCTCCCCACTTCTCTCCCATCTTTGGTGCTCACTCACTGCTACACCCTTGGCTCCCTTCTCCCTTCTGGAGAGTGGGTCTCCCTGGCCCCACTTCTGTGGGACCTTGTAGACCTGGTGCAGGATTATCACCCTTCAGGACCCAAGAAGAGCAAGAAACCATGCAAGGTGGGAGGCCGCAACCTCTTCCCGGACCTTTGACAATTAGGTAAATTGAGACATGCCAACTATGAAAATCCTTGCTTGTTATCTCCATCACTACCAAAATAGTCTATAACCAGGCGCGCCAAGGACTTCGGCTCCAGACCCCCTTTCTGTCCTCAGTGCCCAGCTCCCAGCCTCTTCTCTGTCCTTTGGACCAAATCTCCCATCAAACTCTGTATCCCCAGGACCACAGCTCTGAGTGATTCCTTCCTTTTTCATTCTCAGTTTATACACTTCCGTAACCTGGGGAAAGAGATGGTTGGTGTGGATCATTTCTAATCCTTCCAGTGCTGTGTGTTAGGAAAGGTGGGAGAGAGGTGTCTAACCTGGATTTGGTCAGGGGGTAGCTAATAGGTGTCTTTGCCCCCAAGAACCTATAGGTCTCCTGGCCCATGGCTCTAACTAATAATATCTCTTGCTCCAGCTGCAGGGCACCCTGGGAGATGTTTTGGTTCTCATCTCTCTTCTTTTGATCCCACATCTTCTTCTACCTCAGGACATCACGAGAGTGGTGGCCCTGTCCCCATTCTCCTCCAGGATACTTTATCTTTTAAGGTTTTCATGCAGGCGACAGCAAATCCAACCCAACTGGCTTAAAGGAAAGAGAATTATATAAAAATAGTCTTGGACATGGTCAGCTTAAGCACGGACCATCCATCCCCGTCCTTAGGATAAATGTCTCTCCTCATGTTGCAGGAGGGCTGGCAAAGGCACCTGGAACCATGCTTTTCCTTCACATCTGGGAAGGGCAGAGAGAGAAAAAGACAGATACACTGAGAGAACCTGAGGTGAGATGAGAGAAAGGGAGAGAGGAGAGACGGGAAATATTTTCCCCAGGAGGCCCTAGAAAAACCTTTCATTGTGCCTCATTGGTCCAGATGATGCCACCTGCCTATCATGGAACCAATATCAATGGCCAGGGGATGAGATTATGCTGATTAAGTCAGACATGAGCCAAAGACACCCCCTACCCCCAGGCCAGGGGTGAAATCAGCTTTTTCTCTAACAGAAACGGCACTGGGGAGACAGCTGCTGTGCCTGCTACTTGGGGGGAAGGGAAGGGAGTGGGCTGCACATCATGAGTTGACTGTTCCTGAGTTTTGGAAGTCTTGGAACGGTGCAGACTTTGTTAGTTGTGTACTTAGTGTCATTCTGTGAGAGAATAGAAAGACATATTTGGTCTTGACCATGTGGCTCTGTTGGTTGGAGCATTGTTCTGTGCACCAAAAGGTTGCCAGTTCGATACCTCGTCAGGGCACATACCTATAGGTTGCAAATTTGATCCCCAGTTGGGGCACATATAGGAGGCAACCAATCAATGTTTCTCTCTCACATCCATGTCTGTCTGTCTGTCTGTCCGTCTCAGTATGAAGAACCACTCCCCCAACACACAAACACACAGTTGATGACCAGAACTGTTGTGATTATGGTCGTAGTGTGAAAGTACAGGTGATACACAGGAGAGAGACACAGTAAGGAAGAACCAGGTTTTATCCTATACAGAAAGAAGGCTGGTTGGTTTTTCTTCCCTAATACACATTGCCTCCGGCTTTGATCCTCCCTAAAAAGGAAATACTAGTTTGGGTCAGGCATCCCACCTTTCTTTAATAGCCAGGTGATGTGAGAGAGGTCCTAGGAATGGGGTCTGAATACAGTTTGCCAAATATTGTGGTTCTTTGCCTCCTTCCCGTGGTTGCCATAGACATGGGTGTATGTAACAAGTCAGAGAAATAAAATGTGAGGGCAAGTTGGCGTGTAAGTTTTGGGATAACATTTCTTTGTTTTGAAAAACGTGACCCAAGTAGATATAGCCCTTCGTTATTGTCCGTGAATGGGGGTGTGAGGTCTGGAACTGCAGTGGCCACCTTGAGGCCAGGGATGGATAAGCCTGAGTGGATCCTTTCGGACAGAGTGGAAACGTTGAACTAGTCAACCCACGAACTGCCCTGACTCGTGTTCTCTTGTTCTCTGAGACAATCAGTCTCCTCTTGGTTTTGATCATTTTGCATTGTGTGTCCTGTCACATACAACCTCGGCCCCCATATTGCCTGTGATTCACACAGAATCCAAGGAGGCAGCCCTATTTGCAGATGAAAACATCCTAAATGAGAGTTTTCTTTTGCAGTTGCTCCCCTGTCCTTGTGATAGGCTCTCTCTCACAGAGGTTGTTTTCCCAGCTCTCGGTGAGTGGGCTGCATACCATGAGAATTGCAGGAGCAGTATCTGCTTGTTTACAACCTATTAGTGGCTTTTTATCTTTTAAAGATTTTATTCATTTATTTTTAGAGAGAGGGGAAGGGAGGGAGAAAGAGAGGGAGAAAAACAGCTATATGTGTTGCTGCTCACGCACCCCCTGCTGGGGACCTCGCCGGCAACCCATGCCTGTGCCCTGACTGGGAATCAAACTGGTGACCCTTTGGTTCGCAGGATGGCACTCAATCCAGTGAGTCACACCAGCCAGGACTGAAGTGGCCTCTTTGATGTGGGTTGTGGGCACAGCCCTGACCCAAACTGGATCCCATCGCAGTCTGTCTGCTAAAAGTTTAGAACCAGGACCCAGTAGTTCTTGGTACTTGGCATTTCAAGGGCATCTTTGGCTACTATGTGTGAAGCAAAAGAAGGTAGTCTGTGGAGGGATGGAAAAATGAAGCGAAACCCACGAGGGAAGCCACACTTTTGAGAAACAGAGAGACAGACAGATTTTGCAAAAGGGAGACAACCATAATTTCACACACAGATTTTCAGTTCTGTTTCCCATCCCTGGTGAGGCCCAGAGACCTAGCTCTTGCCTGAATTCTAAACTTCTAATAATGTTGTCATTTTTGCTTAAGTCAGCTTAAATAGATTTTACTTTTTACAAGCGAGATCCATGAACAAAATCTTGGGAGCCATTAACAATGAAGGCCTGATTACAAGCTGTGGTTTAGAACATTATGAGAAATTTGTCCCTAGCCTCAACATCTGCTGTAGGGCATGATAGGAGATGTAATCCTAGCCTTCAGTCTCTGCCATTGTGTCTCATCGGAAATGCAGCCTTTGCCTCAGTTCCTGCTAAAAGGCGTCATGGGAAATGTGGTGCTAGCCTCCACCCTCTGGTAGGGCACCACGGTGGATGCAGTTCTAGCCTCCAATTTCTGTCATAGGGAATCATGGTGAAGCTGAAACTATTCTCAATTTTAATTATGGAGCATCTCAGAAAATGTCATCTTGGCCTCATCTCTGCTGTAGGGCATCATAGGAGATAGAGTCCTAGCCCAGTTTGCGCTGTAAGATACCATAGAATATGTAGTCTTTCCTTCCTTTGTTCCTTCCTTCTTTTCTTTACCACCTGCCATATCCCAGGCACTATTCTGGGCACCGGGAAGACAGTGGTAAGCGAATGAAAGGCCTTGCTCTTTATGGGGATTATAATGGGGTGAATTAGCAAACAAATAAATGACTGTTCCAGTTAACCATTGCGGCATAGCAAAATAACCCCAAACCCAGCGGTATAAAACTACAACCTTTTCATTTGATGATTCTGTGCATCACGGACTATCAGCGAGACACAGCAGGACCAGTGCACATCAGCTCCACAAAGGACTGGAGCCAACACGGGCTGACTGGAACAGCGGGAGGTGGCTGGGTGGCTTATGGGGGCTCTTGAAACCTTGGTTCTGGCTGTTAACTGGCCTTGTGGGTTGAATTGTGTCCCCTCAAAATATATGTTGAGTCGTAACCCTCAGGATCTAGAAGTGTGATCTTATTCGAAAATAGTTAGGATGAGGTCATACAGGATTAGGCGGGGCCCCTAAATCCATGACTGGTGACCTTTTAAGGAGAGAGAGATTTGGAGATACACAGCCACATTCACAGAGAAGGGCCACGTGACAACAGAGGCAGAGATTGGAGCGATGTGTCTGTAGACCAAGGAAAGCCAAGGATTGTCGGCAGCACCCAGAACCTAGGAAGAAGCTTCTTTCTAAAGACTTTTGGAGGATCCTTCCCCAGAGACTTTAGAAGGAACGTGGCTCAGCCAGCACCTCGATTGGGACTTCTAGCATCCAGAACCTGAGAGAATGAATCTGTGTTGTTTGAAGCCACCCAGTTTGCCAGTTTGTAGTAATTTATTATAGCTGCCCTAGGAAACGAAAGCAGCTGCCTTTCCTGCTTCTGCTGCACATGGACATCTGCTGGGGTTATGATGTCCAAGGCAGCGCCTTCGCCCACTTGTCTGGTGCCCAGGCTGAGACGCTGGAACATGTGCGGCTCTCTCTCCATATGGCATCCGTGCATGAGCAGCTTGGGCGTCCTCATAGCATGGCAGTCTCGGTGCAGGAGGACTTTGACGTGGCAGCTGGCTTGCCCAGAACTAGACAGTTCCTGAAAGCTTGGGCCCAGAATTTGGCGTGGCATAGCTTCCCCCATGTTCTATTATTGGTCAAAGCAGTCACAGAGCCGCTCGTGTTCCAGAAGTAGAGAGATACAGGCCCCATCTCTTTCAGGCACCACTATGACAGGTAGTGACATGTGTGTTGAGGAGCTCCTCAAAAGAAACCCTGCTCCTCACCTAGCCCCAAGTGCCATGCCGATTGACTTATCATTTTCCTCATTTGCCCCAGGGCCCCATGTAGTGTCTCTATGAGCTTGCCTCAGCGAACCCTGGAAAATGTGACCTCTTCAATATTGAGCTCCCAGAGTGCCACTGAAATGGTAGTTCTGTGTTTTTGTTGGTCAGTCGGAGGATACCCTAGGAAATAGAGCCCAGCCTTCTGCTCCTGGACCCAGAGCATCAGGGGAAATGTAGTTCTGCCCTTGTTCCTCGTTGCAGTGTATCACAGCAGTTCGGGCAGGCAGGTCGTCTCCCATACACCGCCTGTCTCAGAGTCCGCAGGAAATGCAGACATCTCTCCACAGAACAACAAAGTGGTCTTGACCTTTGGAGTTTGGGAGAAGAGACTGGAAGGTTAGTGCTTAGGTAGGTGAGTCAGAAGGCTGCATTTGGAGCTCAGAAATGGATGTGGAGGCGACTTAGGGTGGAAGCCCTCATGGGGCTGCTCCCAGGCCGAGGCCTCAAACCCCTGGGTCCTACCAGGTGACCCCCAATTCCAGGAAGGGCCCCCCCATCTTTAGAAAGATAGATGCTATGGATAAGGTCAGATCTGGCCGTGTTCATTGATATAAAAATCTTTATATAAGTATAAAATATTAAATAAAACAAATATTAATTAATAATAACAATAGCGGCAGCAATATTAGTAACAATAAGAACTCTTCTGCTGGCCCGCAGCCTTTGTCCGGCTTTTCTCCTCTGGTTCTCGTACTTCTGTGAGACAGGTGGTTTCACAGCTGGGAAAACTGAGGCTCAGAAGAAACAGCACACTGGCCCGAAGTCACACAGCAAATATGCAGGACTAGGAGCTCAGGGAAGGGCAAAGGGGTCCTCTGGATCCAGCCAGGGCAGGGAGAGTGTGAGGGTCAGGTCCAGAGGAGAGTGCCTCCCCATAGTCTCGCGGTCATCAGTAGGGTGACAGTGAGGCTGAAGTGGGCAGGGCCAGGCCGGGGGGCGCCCCCCATGTGTGGCTGGCCGTCCTGGGTTGGGTGATTACAGCCATTTCCGGTACAGCACGAGACGTTGAGATGGGTCAGGCTGTAGGCTTCAGCCACGTGGAGGCTCTGGCACCATGAGGGCGCTGCACAGCCTCTAACTGTGTAGCGCGGGTTCCCTAGCCCTGAGGAGAGAGAAGACTGTGTGAGGCTCCCAGCTCTTGGGCAGGAGCTTCTCACTGCGTGACAAGCCACCTTGTGGTGGACGTTACCTGGAAAAAGCAGAAGTTCTAACTGTGGTGCAGGGGATCTGGGGAGTCAACATTATTCTAATAATAATGCCAACACATCACTTGGCCTTTTTGCTCTCGTAAGTGTATGATGGGGTTTTACAGAACCACCAGGACAAGTAATCTGGCCACAGACTGAATGCAGAGGCACATGTGAAGACCCAGCTGTCTTTCACTAAAGACACTAAAGACTTATCTACAAAACTATATAGCAATGCCAAAATTCTTGTTAAATTTTTTCATTTTGGAAAACATAGTCGGGTTTTTTTCATAAAAATATGTTAGTATGTGATTTTTGTTACTTTAAAAAACATTAATAAATATATCTTATAAAAATGTCGCAGTTTTAATTTCTAATGCATGCAACTAACATGGAATCTTGACATCAAAAAGTCTGAGCACTACTGGAACAGAGACCCTTCCAGGATGTCACAGGATGGAAACCTGGGATGTCCACAGGAAGTCCCACCCCCAAAGAATTCCACATTTCTATGGCCAAAAGATCCATTTCCCAATGGACAAGCCCTAAGTCCTTACTACAATTTGCACCTTGCTCAAGAGAGGGGCCCTAGGAATATCCACCTCGATTAAGTCCAGCTAAACTGAAAGTTGATCTCTTGCAAACCCAACCTTCCCCCCGACCCCCCGCCTGTTAAGTATCCCCTTACAACCTCCCACCGGGCCTCACCATCAGTGCCTGTGGCTTCCAGACATTGATTCATGGGGCCTCGGCAGGCAGTGAGGGACGTCTCTTCAGAGGAACATCCATGGGTGCTGTTCCCCTCACAGCTGTAACACTGGAGGCCGTTCAGTGGCATGTTCTGAAGCTCTGGGACTTGGGAAAAGACAAGAGACCCATGAAATTAGCACAGGGTGGGGATGCAGGGAGGGGTGTGTCCTCCTTCCTTGACTTGACTCCCAGCTCTCAGCCTGAGATGTCACGAAGCCCCCTTGTGGTCGACATTGGAATGGCACTCCCTTTTGGGGGTTCTCTGGACCCTGGTGAGAAATACCGACTCTCAATTCCTCAGGAATCCCTGTCTGACCAGGCACTGGGTAAGCAGCCAGGTAAGATGAAACAGCCCCTGCCCTCACAGAACTTACAATTTAGAAAGACACCATCCCATATGGTAGTCACTAGCTTGAAATTAATTAATAATAATTAAATAAAATTCAAAATTCAGTTCACACGCCAAGTGCTCCATAGCCATTTGCGGTAGTGGCGAACCATATCGCCCAGTAAAGAGAGAGAACACTTCCATCATCATGAAAAGTCAGACCGGACAGTGCGTTATTGAGACGTGATGGATCGAGATTATATTGAAGGGGAGGGGCAGCGAAAGTTTCACTGAGGATGAGACTTTAAGGCTGATACCGGAAGAACGAGAAATAGCCAGTCAGGTGAACTCTTCCGGGAGCTGCGTTTCTAGGGGAGGGTACTGCACGTGCAAAGGCCACGAGGCAGGGCGGCACTGGGCAGTTGCAGAAACCAAATGAAGATGATGAGGCACATGGGTGATGAATTACATAGGGCATAGAGTCTGGCCTCTGGAATTCATTCTCAGAGCAAGGGGAAGTCATTTAAGTGCTTGAGGAAGGACAGTGGGATGATCTCATTTACATTTTTAAAAAGTCTCTCTTGCTGCTGTATCGAACATTGGCCTTAGGGTCTCAGGGGGATCAGAGGGAAAGTTATTGCAACGATCTAAGCAACAGGTCACAGTGGCTCAGGCCAGGGTGCTGAGCAGTGGAAGGATTCGAGAGAATGAAGGAAGCAGCAAGCATGGGTCTCGGGGAAGGTCTGCTAGACTCATTGAATTCTCACACAGTCCTTCTTGGAAGAAGGGCTCGCTATGTCCCTCTTTCAGAAGAGGACACGGAGACCTGGGGTCGGGGGGTGGCCTGCACGAGAGCGGCGACCTCCCTGAAAGCGCCTCCCTGCCCTGATCCCAGACTTACGCAGGGTCCCCCGCTCCTTACCTGGGCCCCCATTGCATTTGGTGGTGTTGCAGCACCGCAGGAAGTGGAAGGTGTGGTTGTTGTGGAAACCGGTGGGGCCTGGGCAGCCAGGAAGGTTGCCACAGCCTCGGGAGTGGCGCTCGTCCCCTGGCCTCTCTGTGTGGGGCAGAGGAGAGCGGTCAGATTGTTGATGAAGGGCTGGCACTGCATTTGCCCATCGCAACAGCCATCTGTCATTTTCTGCTTCATCCTTCATTATAGGACCTCATTTTCTTTGGGGCACCCATATGTGTAACCAAAAGACACCTTGGCGGGTATAGTCACGTGGCTAAATTCTGGCCAATGTGATGTAAGTAGAAAGGTTTAAGGGACTTCCAGAGGAACCATTACAAAAGGAGAGGTGTCCCCTTTTTGCCCCTTCTTTTTGCCTTCCTTCTTCCTGGCACTCGGGCATGAGGCATGGAACTCTGGCAGCTATTTCGGACTATGAGGCAATCTTGAGAAGGGAAGCAACCCTCGTCAGTGTGGCTTAGTTGGCTGGAGTGCCATCCAGTAGACCAAAATGTTTTGTGTTTGATCCCCGGTCCGGGGGCGTACAAGAACGCAACCAACCAGTGTTTCTCTTTAGCGTCAATACATAAGGATAAAAAGATTTTTAAAATAAAACAAAATAATGGGTCTCTTAAAAAAGAAAAAGAAATAAGAAGGCATCTGGGTTCCTGACGACTGTGGAACTGTCACTGTGGCCCTGGACTTCCTATCACCGAACATTTTGTGTGTGAGAGAACTAACTTTCTACCTTGCTTACATCCCTGTCATGGGGGGATTTAAGTGCAGCCTTGGGGAGGAGTGAAGCAGGGAGGAGGAGCTGCTGGCGGGTTAGAGCTCACCTTCCGGGCTCCGGTGAGTCACTACGTCCAGGCACTGTTCTCTAGGGTGGCGACATTGAAGGCTCCTGTCCCAGCCCCTTTCACAGCTCAGATCTGAAGAGGCGCAGGAAACACACTCGAGGTACCGGCGGCTTCGGGGGAATTTGGGAGCCCTGGCTGATCGGGGAGAGGCAGGAGGGTGAGCCCATGGGGACGGTCCTGGACGTCCAGTTCCCCTGAAGACTCGCCTCAGCATCAATTCCTCCTCTTCAGTCAGTCATCAAGACCTACCTGGTCATTCTGAATCTTTCTAGAACTCATTCCCTCCTTTCTGATCCCATGACCGGGCCCAGCTCAGACCTCCTTCAATACCAGCTTCCTCCTAGGCCTCCCTGTCTGCATTCTCGCCACTCCCACCCTAGCCCCAGTGCATCCCCACATGGCCCGAGAAAGATGTTTCTAACACTCAACTCTGAACCTGTCTCTCCCCTGCTCAAAACCCTTCCACGGTTCCCAACTGCCCTCAACAAAAAAATCCACCATTCTCAGCGTGACATTCAAGGCCCACCAAAGACTGGGTCCTGGCTACCTCTCCTTCCCCATCTCTCTCCACCAGCCCCTCGAACTCTACTCCACACAACTTCCCACGGTTCCCAAACATACATGCTGATGCATCTAGCCTTTGCACCGGCTGTTGCCTTGCTCCCTACTTTCTCTATCTCCTACTCATTCTCCAGGCATCACCTCCAATTTTCCCTCCCCCAAGAAGCCGTCCTTGGCCTTTTAGGCCACTTCAAGTGCCTCTCTGAGCTCTCCAATCCCAGCCCTGCTCTCTCCAGGTCATCCCTGTCTGGTGACGGGCTTGTTTTCCTCAGTGGACTCTGAGTCCCAGGAAAGTAGGGCCAAGGCTGTCTGGACACTGTTGTGTCCCAACACCACCCAGCAGCAAGCCTGGGCCAGAGAAGATATTGAAAAAATATCCATTGAATGAATGAATGAATAATTACTTAAGACCCTTCTAATGTTCCTTGTGGTAGCCAGTCTCCAAGAGAGCCCCCAGTGATCCCTGCTTCCTGGTGTTTATGCCCTTGCGTAGTCCTTTCCCATAAAGAACAGGGCTGACCCATGTAACCAAAAGGACACTGTGGCAACGGCGGTGTGTGATTTCTGTGCTAGATTGTAAAAGACATTGCAACGTTTTCCTAGCTCTCCCTTGGGTCGCTTGCTCTGGGGGAAGCCAACTGCCATGTTGTAAGGACACTCAAGCAGCCCCATGGCAAGGACCGCATGGTGGGAACAGAGGCCTTTGCCAAAGCCAAGCAAGCGGATCATCCATGCGGGTGAAGCTGCCCTGGGAGCCTTCAGGTGACTGTAGCTCAGCTGTCATCTTGACTACAACCATGTGAGAGATGCAGAACCTTCTAGCTAAGACACTCCAGATTCTTGACCTTCAGGAACTTTTGTGAAATAATGCATGCTTATTTTTGTTTTATGTTTCAGGGCAATCTGTGATGCAGCAATAGATAAATAATTCACTACCCAAGTGACTCAGGGATCAAAGCTGCACTTGATTGATCTGTGATAACTTTGCTCCTCACATGGACCTTTCAGGTCAGGCTAAATGAAGGAGTTCTTTTCCCTGGATTCACCAGTCATTCCTCTGCCCAGGCCTTGGCTCACACAGTCCTCAAGCCTGGCACGCCTGCCCCTTCCTGACCCCAGATATCCAAGTTGAGTTTGGGCCAAGTCTTAGAGACATAGGAAAGCATCTCAGCCAAGGCTCGCAACTGGCAAGCCAGCAGATGTAATTAGGTAAATCAATTACATCAAAGACCTAATCTCACCCCCCCTCAGAGCAAAATAACTAAAAGGCCAACAACAATCCAAGCCTTCTCACACGAAATTCCAGGAGAATCAAAACACAGGCTGCCCTCATTGCCAAAATAACTGTCTCATACCACCCGTGGGTCTCCTTTGGGGACCCTTCTTATGTTGCTCTTCTAAATGCGGGTGATCCTCAGGGTTCAGTGTTAGGTGCTTTGCATCCCTCTTGGTGCACACTCTCTCCCACGGGGATGTTCCCTATTGGCATGGCTCCATTTCTGTCTACCTGCTGAGGGCTCATAAATCTCTCCCCAGGCAAGACTTCTCTCTGAGCTCCACACCTACGTACCCGACTGCCTCCTGGAGGCCCCCTGGCTATCCCTCAAACAGCGGAATCTCTCCATGCCCCACATGAAATGCTCCATCTTCTCCCCAGACCTGCTCTTCTCCTGAATCCCACATCCCTGAGGTGGCCCCAGCCAGCGCTGCAGGGCGGAAACCTGGCAGACTCCTTTGTCCTCCACATTGAGGTATCAGTCTGGACCTTCTACAGCCCTGTCTTCCAGTTCTTCAGTCCTTTTGCTCTGCTATTTCTGATCTCTGTGAAGCACATCTATTGAGTTCTTAATTTCAGTCACTGTTCTATATCTCCTGTTTGATTTCTTTAAAAAATGGACTCCGGATTTCTGCTAAAACTTATCCTTTCCTCCATTTTCTTGAATATATTGATCATAACTATTATAAAGTTCCATAAACACTCCCACATCTGAATCATTATGAGGCTGTTTCTCTTGGTGGATTTCTCTCTTGGTTTCTGGTCAATCGGTCCTTTTTATTTTCTTCAGGCTATCTTGTAAGTTTTGATTAGATGCCAGACATTACAGATGAGAATTTGTAAAGACTCTGAATGATGAGGCTTCTTTCAAAGAGGGTTAGGTTTTCTTCCTGCTGAAGACTGGAAGTATGCATTTAGGGCTCGCGTATTTCAGCGTTGCTCCTACTCCAAGGGTGTGGCCTCAGAGAAAAGCCTGAAATGGTTACCAGGGCCTCTCCTTCCAGCTTGGCAACTTGGGTCTCCCCAGCATCATATGCCTGCTGGAATCTTTGCTCAGTTCTGTAGCTTCCAAGATACTATTTGCTGCTGAGTTTCTTGGAGTCTCACCGTATGCATGTACAGCTTGCCAATAACTGAAGGAGGTCATTTGCAGGTGTGGGGACTCCCTTTTCTGTGGTTCCATGCACTCCAGGATTTTGCCTCTCATTTTCTAAACACCTTGGTAACCCTAAATGCCACCTCTGTCTTCTTAGTCTAGCAACGATCTCTTTCTGTTTGGGTTCAGTTTCCCCTCCACAGCAGCAAATGAGAAAGTGCACTGAAGGAAAACCCCAGCTTGTCTGTGCAACTCAACGTCTGTGCTTCCCCATTTCAAAGATTGTAGCACCTCAGCTTTCTCCCTTCATAGGCTGCTCTCCAATGACTTCAAATAGCTGTTTATAATCCATCCAGCCTTCACAGCTCTTGTTGGGGCGGGGGAGGGTTAGTCTTATATAATCCACTCCATTGTGACCAGAACTACAAGATCATTGCCACTCCGAGTCCATCCACTTCTCTCCATCCGCAGGCTCATTGTCTAATGTGGCCACCTTCATTTTCACCTGCACGACCTCATCCACCTCCACGTTGGTCTCCCCTTTCCTACCTTCCTTCCACCATGGCATCCCTCATCACCTCATCCCTCCGTCGCCGCGCCCCTCCCATCTCCCTTCCACTCCGAGCTCAGAATAATATATGAAAAATATAAATCTGATTGGAACACTCTGCTTCAAACCCTTTCATGACCTCCCACCATTCCCAGATAAAGGCCATGTTCCTCATGACAGCCTAGGAGGCCCTGTGGAATATGATCCTGACAATTCTATCGGTTGTCTAGCCCCGTTTTTCCCTTTCTCCAACCACACCACTTCCACTCACCTCCAGGTCTTTGCATTTCTTGCTCCCTTTAACTGGAAAACCCTTTTCACTGTCTTTTTAATGGTCCAACTCCTACTCATCCCTCAAGATCCAACGTAGCTGTTGCTTCCTGTAGGAGACCTTCCCTGGCCTGAGTCGAGTATCTCCTCACGGGTCCCAGAGGCCCTGCTTTCACTCATCCCAGCCCCGGTCACTCTGGCCTCTGTTTCCCCCATCTCCACCCTGACAGTTCTGGCCGGGTTTCCCCATGACAGCCCTGACCCGTCTGGGCTTCTCGCATCCTGCCGTCACTGGGCGGTGACGGGTCTGTCACGCCCTCCCCCCGCCACTGGACTGTGAGCTCCACAGGGGCCAGGCCCATGGCAGGCTTGGTCACATCTGTGTCCCAGTATTACTTATGTACGGGATGCGGGGTTTAACCAGCTATTCTAGTCACCACAAGCAGGGTAAGATGGCATTAGAAATGTGGCTGATAGAGGCACATCAGCTATTAAACTACTGAATTGACGGCTGCTGCCCCAAGCTCTCTGGTGGACCCCCGGCCACCGCCAACTGTTCCCTTAGAATCCTCATGCCACCAGGAGCCATCGCGTAACTCCAGGCACAGCAGGGGCCCGCCAGGGCTCTCTTCCAGTTGACGGATGCCTCTGCACTGACCTGTATCGTTAAATACTTTGAATATTATCCCGTCATAGAAGCATTACTTAGACCCAATGATCAGTGCTTTCCTTAAGCGCATCTAACCGAGAGAGGAAGCTGGTCTCCCCTCTCGTCACTTCTTTGGAAATGAACATCTGATTCAGTTCCCACTAATAGATTCAGTTTGAGGTCAGGACGGACGAGTACAAGCACAGGTTTCTGCTTACTGATGGCACTGTGTCGGGACTGCCCTTCACCATTTCCTTCCTCATGAGGGCCAGAAAGAGGAATGAGTCTCTGCTCATCTCCAGCAGGGGTGAGTCCTTCCCCACCCTTCCTCTCCTATGGGAACTTGAGGAGTTGGTACCTTTCTAAGTCTTTTCCTTAAACCGACCAGAGCCTAAAGCCACAAAACTCAACACAAGGGCTTATGGAAGAGTTTCTTCATGTTCTTCCTCACTGCCGAAGTCAAAGAACATCTATTTTAGGGAACTTTCTGAGCCCACTGCAGCCTGTGATCCCCTCCTGTCCGACTTCCCTCACGAATTTTGAGTCTCTGACATCTCTGGTCTTTGCATCCTGATCCCCCAGCACCTACTGCCTGAACCATCTCCTGCCCCGTGGGAAAAGTCACATGGCAAATCATCAGTGAGATACCACATCTCCCTCTTGAGTGGGTGTATGTGCGCATAGCTTCTTATGGGCAGGTGTTGCATCTTATACATAACAACCATAGAAACAAACACGTATGGGGTGGGATAGGGTTAAGCCTTAACCGTTAAGGGACAGGCATGAGTTTGTGGGTGGGATTGGGGACCGTTTGAGATGAGACGGAGTTGATTAAGGGATGGGGTTAGAGATGTATTTGGAATAAGATGAATTTGAGTTGGAGGGTGTTGAGGGTAAAGTGAGTTTGGGGATGGGATTGGAGGTGAGGTTAAGTCGGGGCTGGGAATGGGGCTGGGCTGAAGATGCGTGTGGGGTAAGGACAGGTCTGAAGTGGGGCTGGTTCTGGGGTGAGGCGTGGAGTTGGGGTGGCCCAGCACCGAGGCCAGGACGGGGTGACGATGGGTGAGTGGAGGGTGGGGGGTGCACGCGGCAGGGGCTGTCCTACGCACCGGGGCTGGGCCGGTTGCACAGATCCGACCCACACACGGCCTCCGTCAGCGTGATGACCTGCATGCCCGTCCGGTAGCTCATGGTCCTGTTGGTCTTCTCTGAGTGGGCACAGCCTGTCTCCACCACCTCCAGCTCTTCACCTTCTGTGAGGAATGCATCGCCGTCACCCCAGAGGCTCCCCAGGGCCCAACCAGCCTCAGCCCTCCTGCTCTTACGGTAACCGACTCCTGTGGCTGAATCCCACGCCTCTACTCTTGCTTGGGTCCAACTCTGCCTTTTCTCGCGTTAACGCCCCTCGCCCGACCTACCCCTCACAGGGAGCCCATCTTCTCTCAGTGACAACACGGGGGCCTTCTGGGACCTACTGGATCCATCTACCCCTCCCCTGCCACCCAGTTTAGCAATCTTAGCGGGGAGATACCTCTAATAGAAATTTTTAAAGGAAAATCCTTTAAGTTTACCCAAAATGATGATATAATACTGTGTATTCATCACCCAACTCCCCAAAATGTTAGCATTTTGCTATGTTTGTTTCAGATATTTTAAAAATAAACTAAACGTAAAGGATACAGCGAAAGCCCCCTGCCCCACCGCATTCCCCTACGCCCTGTCCAGAGCCAACCACGGGTGTAAGAAATTCTCACACGTTCTATGCCTAACAACATACACTATTGTTTGACATATTTTACACTTTAAAGGTGTCATACTCTGTAACATGCTTTTTTTCTCTCAGCCTCATGTTTTTGAGATGTATGCACGTTAATACCCACAGCTCTAGTTTCTTCATTTAAACTGCTGTGTGGTATTTCATTATGTGATTACACCATAATTTTCTCCTCTGCTGCTGAGTGACTTCAGGGTGTTTCCAATTTTCCATTTCACAGATATTCCTGCTAAGAGCATTCTTATACAGCTGTCCCTGGGCACGTGAGGCCAAGGTTCTTCGGTGTGTCTATATTCGTGGGAGTTGAGGTGCTGACTGCACGACACTCTAATCTTCATCTATACCAGACGCTACCAGAGCGCTCTGCGGGGCAGCTGCAGCGTTTGACTCCTAAAAGCAGGCCCCGCAGCTCCACATCCTCACCGACCGCAGTGTTGTCAGATTTTTAAATGCTTGTCAACCTGGTGGCTGTGAAACAGGTATCTTTGTCCTTTGGTTGGCGCTTCCCTGAGAGCTGGTGAAACAGGCTCTCTTGGTCACTCGCGCTCCTGGGGGCGCCGCAGTGCGGGAGCTTACCTTCCCAGACGAGCAGCGCCGTGCTCCTGCAGAGATCCTGGCCCGGCGCACACTCCTCCACGCGGCAACGCCCGGCCCTCTCACAGTGCACGCAGCGCAGGCCCCAGGTGGCTAGGGGGAGACGGAGGGGACAGCGAAGGGTTTGTTAGATAGCTCTGCGCCAGGACTCCCCTCTTGTGCGTCCCCCGACGTCCCAACGCCAGGACCGGGTCTGGCAGCCCTGTGGTTCGCGCTCCACGTTCGGCCGGCCCCCGGGACCCAAGGCGGCGTTCGGGCCAGCGGCGCTTCCGGTCTCTCTCTAGCTCAATGGCCTGTCTCCGCACCTCTTTCCTAAGGCTCTATCCCCGGCCACACGTCCTTCCCTGAAGTCTTGCCCTCGCTCGTTTTTCCCTTGACATCTGTCCGCGTGCGGGGCCTCGGCCTGAAAGCCCCATCTCCGCCCTCGCACCCCGCCGGCTGGCGGTCGACCCCGCCAGCTCTCCCAGGGGCGCTGCGGCCTCACCCGATCCCAGAGGGTCCTTACCTTCTCCCCCACTCCTGCCCTGTCCCCCCACCCCGCCCCTTACTAACCGTACCCCACGCACTAACTTCCCCAGGTTCTGCTCCCCTCAAAACCTCCCCCCGACGTTTCCTGCGGCCCAACAACCCCCTCCCCCCGCCCCGAAGTTCTCACCCCGCCCGTGCGCCCCTGGGGGACCCCAACCCTGACTACTCGGCCACCGCGCGGCTGCCTCCGGGCGGTTCTCTCCGCGCCCCCCCCCCCCACCGCCCCGCGGCTGCGCTCCGCGGGCTCCCTCGGTCGCCGGGCCCGCTCCCTCAGCGCGGGCCTCCCCGTGCGCCCTGCCTCTCCCAGTTCCGGAGCCTTCCACAGCCATTACTCATTCCTGGTCTCCAGCGGTCGGAGCGCTTTCCGGGTTATTCATTGCCGAGTAGTCCTCATCCCAAGCAGCGCCCCCTCCCATCCCGCCTCGACTCAGTTTCTTCTCTGTTTTCTGCAGCTTGGTCAACCCTTCCCCCCTTGCGGTTTCCGGGGAAAGGAGGTGAGAGGATCCTTGAGGGGCAGCCCCGGGTGCCCGGCCCCCGGCTCCGTGACGCTCGGCCGGACTCTCTGTGGATCTGGCCCTCAGTGCGCTGTCCTCCCTACGTTTGGGCCCGGGGCGGCTCGACAGCGTGGAGACCGCCGTGGGCGCCCCTTCGGGGACCAGAATCCCACGCATTCTAGCACTGGCTGTGTGATCGCGGACCAGTTACTTAACCTCTCTGTGCCTCAGTTTCCTTCTGTGTGAAATGGGGTTAAAATATGGTTCTGCCCGCAGAATTCGAAATGTGCAAGCAAGGAGCTTAGAAGAGGGTCGGAATAAACAGCGCTCACCAAACGGTGGCTGTCGTTAATGCCTTCGCTCAGCCAGCGTTTCCTGAGTGCCTACTGTGTGCCAGGTACTGTGCCGCGAGGGGCTGCCGATGGCAGGAGAACAATTATTTGGGGGGAGGGCGGGGCCGGGGACTGAACTCCCCTCCTCCTCCAACTCCCCAGACTACGAGTCCCGTCTTCTCCCTTCCCCGCCGTCGGACCCGGTTCCCAGAGCAGGTGCTGGGAACCCAGCCTCTACCTGGAATGCAGGTTTCAACCAACAGCAGCAGCGGCAGCAGCGCTAGCGGGACGCCCATGTCCGGCAGCGGCCCCTGGGTCCGGCAGCGGCTCCTGCCCGCGGCCTCCCTGCTCCTCTGAGTCTGGCCCCGGGAAGGAGGCAGTTTTGTCGTCCCGGGGGCCCCTCCCCGACGTTTTGCGAAAGAGCGGGCGAGTCAGCCCTTGATGAGTGGGCGCCCCACCTCCTCCCCCGGGCCCCCCCTTCCCCAGCCCGGGCAAACTTTCTTTCCCGGGGCGTGGCCAGCCAGGAGTAGGGGGCTGGCTCTGCTCTGACTCACGTGGTCATGGGCACAGCTGTACCCAGGCCGCGGGGTGCAAATTCCAGTTCTCCGTCTTCCTGCTACGGGATCTTGGGCGAGGAACTGCAGTTCTCAGATGAAAACTCGTCCCTATAGAAATTCGTGGCCGATTATTGGATAATAGAGGATTTTTGTTAGTTTTGTTAGGAGGGACAATGGTAGTGTGGTTATGTGGGAAAATATCTTTATCATTTAGAAATGGATAGTGAAATTCTGGGGCTTGAAGTAATATAATATCTCTAATTCACTTTAAAACACTTCAGCCAGAAAAGTAGATAGTGCTCTTCTGACAATGGTTTTGTGGTTATGTGGCAAAATTGTTCTTAGTTTTTATAGCTCGCTGAAATATTTAGAGGTTCATGTCATTAATGTCTGTGTTTAATATATACTTTAGGGAAAAAAAGGAAAGGCAAAATAGCAAAATATTTGTATCAACTAGATAGAGGTAACTTGTATGTCATTCTGTCTCCTTTTCTGTGTGTTTGTAAAGATTCATAATAAATTGTTTTTCATTTATTGATTTTAGAGAGAGAAAGAGACAGAAGAAGGGAGGAGAGAGAGAAACATAGATTCATTGTTTCACTTGTTAACACACTCATTGGTTGATTCTTTTATGTGCCCTGACTGGGGATTGAACCGGCAACCTTGGTGTGTTGGGATGACGCTCTAACCAAATGAACTGTGGCGCGGGCAATACATTTTTTTAAAAAGGTAAGATAGTCTCCATCTCAGGATGCTTCTGACCAATCAGAGCCCTTTAGTGCAGGCGAGGTTTCTGAACGATTGCTGACCCGCACGGAGGGCCCAACAAATTCCTTCAATATTTACTAAGTGCCAGGAATTGGTCCAGGACTGGGTCACAGCAGGAAACAAAGCAAAGTCCCTGCCCTTGTGACAGGGGGGAGTAGATATGTGTAATCTAATCTTCAACTGTCAGGCAGTGATAAATAAAATGGAGAAAAACAAGCCAGGTAGAAGAAGGTGCAAGGTACAAGTGAGGCGTGGTCAACGTATGGCGGGGGGGAGGGGGGCAGGGGGGTGATTCAGGGGGGCTTCCCGGAGCAGGGGGCACGCGAGCTGAGACGGAATGTGTGAGGGAAGAAGTTGGCGAATGGTCTGGGAAGAGTTCCAGGGGAAGGAAACAGCCAGTGCAAAGGCCCTGAGGAGGGAGTGTGCCTGATGATGTTGGAAGAGCAGAGAGGCCAGTGTGGCTGGGACAGAACTGGAAAAGGCAAGAGTAATAGGCAATGGGCAATTAGTAGTTAACCTCTACCACTATAGTAATGATGAAACTATTGTTATTAGTCATTCATCTAAGCCTTAAGCTAATAATTTAAAGATAAAGTAGAAAAGTCCTAAGGAAACCCTCTCTCCTGAGAGACAGTATATCCTAGTGATTGAGAGTGTGTGTCGGGGGTGAGGGGTGGGGGGTGGTGGCACCAGACTGTGGGGTTCCAGTTCCAGGTACTCATTGGCTGTGTGACCTTGGGCAGGTTCCTTAGCTTTTCTGTGCCTCCAGCTCCTTCCCTGGATAGGAGAGACAACAAGCACCTCCCCTGAGGGCGGCTGCGCCAGGGACACGGGAATAGGGACCCAGCTGTGTGCCACCCTGCCTGGCACATGGTAGGAGTTTGATAAACAGCTGTAACTGTCATTAGTGTGGTTGTGGCGCCCAACTCTATAGATTCTGGCCCTAGTTTCCTTTCTGCAGGATGGGAAAAAGAGGTAGAGACACGTCATCAGTCTGAGGTCATCGGTTGTCATCCTGATCATTCCCTGCCTGGGACGCTGTGAACCAACAGATAAGATAGGCTCCTTTCCAAGCCTCAGTTTTCTCACATGGAAAATGGGGCCCTTCTTGGGGTTTCCACGAAAACAGTGTGAGATATTAAAGTGTATGAGGTGAGGAAACAGAGAGTTGGGGTGTGGTCTAGGTGGGCTTGAGATCTGCCTCACCATTTGGCCCTGGGTAGCCATGGGCAGGTGGCTTCGCTCCCCTGATCCTTGCTTTTCTCAGCTGTGACATGGGTCTGCGGAAGGTGGGAGGCATCTCTTGGTGAAAGGAAAGCTCCGGTCAGGGTCACAACAAGCTGTATGGTCCGAACTACCACTTCCTGGATGGATGACCTCACCACAGTCACGTACAATTTCCTCTTTCATTCAAAGAAAGAGGAAATTATCTTAGACCCCACCCATTTCCCCCTCAGACTGCTCTGGTATCCCCACATCTCTGTCTCTCTTCTTCTGTGTCTCTCTGTCTCTGTCTTTTGCTATCTCTCTGTTTCATTCTCTGACGTGTTCTCCCTGTTTCTCTCTCAAGTGACACACACGGTGAGATCCAGTGACTGTGTTGGAAGAAGGGGCAGGCAGGGGGCAGGGCTGTGCACAATCTCAGAAAAGCGGCAGGAATGTCCTCCCTCCCGCTGATTCACCTGGGCCTCTCCTGCTCCTGCCTGCCTGCTGGGTCCTGGGAGAGGCCCGCAGGTTTCGGGGACTTCCCTGGCTGAGGACAGGAGAGCCCTCTGCAGAGAGAGTGAGAGACAGAAGGAAGGAGAGACAGCGAGAGAGACAGAGCTAGAGATGGGGGGAGGGGATGGGAGAGCAAAGGAGAAGGCACAGACAGACTGATTCAGGGGAATCAGAGAGGGAGAGAGGTCGAGATGACAAAACAGCAAATGAGAGACAAGGACAGAGACAGTGAGAAATGGAGGGACAGAGAGAGAAACAGGCAGAGACAGACAGAGAGACAGAGATTGACAGAAAGAGTTAGAATGGCAGACGCCACGTGCCTTCAAAAAGAGAAAAGCAGAAAGCAGAGACTCAGGGAGACAGACACTGTGTGTGTGTGTGTGTGTGTGTGTGTGTGTGTGTGTGTGTGAGAGAGAGAGAGAGAGAGAGAGAGAGCACACCTGGGACCCCCTTGGCGTCTTGCCACCAGCCTGAGGAAGTGGCCATCGGCCTGAGGAAATGACCGCCTCTGGCCTGGGCTGATGCTGTGGCCATTTCCTCCCCAATCCCAGGCCTAGTTGGCAACACTGACATCTGCCTCCTCTCAGGGCCTCGGCTTAATCCCTCTGCAAAAACCGGGATGACAGGAGAGGAATCCCCCTAGAGAGTGAAAGAGCTGGGAAACCCCTGGAGCCCAGACCCCTCTGCCCCCATTCCCCAGGGAGGGAAACTGAGGCTGTCTCCTGCCGTTTTTGTTGCGTGCTGGCGCTATGCTGGTGCTGTTCTGAATGCTTTCTGTCTATGCCTTGGTGCCTCCTCACAGTATCCTATTTTATGGCTGAGGACACGGAGGTTCAGAGAGGTGTGTTCAGCTGAATGTGGCTCCGAAGATATCCCTGTCCTAAGCCCTGGCACCTGTGATTGTTACCTGATGTGAAAAAAAGGGTTTTTTGAATGTGATCAAGTCAAGGGTTTTAAGATGGGGACATTATCCTGATGATCAGGGTGGGCCCTAAATGTAAGCACCAGTGTCCTTACCAAGGGAGGCAGGGGGAGACTTCGCTGTAGACAGAAGCAGAGGAAAACAGGGTCGGAGAGAGAAGATGCTTTGCTGCCGGTCCTGAAGATGGAGGAAGCGGTCAGAATCAAAGGAATGCAAGGGGTGCAGCTCTCCCTACTGGAAAGGGCAGGAGACCACTGCGCCCCTAGAATCTCCCGAGGGAGTGCTGCTCTCCTGGCACCTTGATTCGGGCCCCTTAAGACTCCCTGGAGATTTCTGACCTCCAGTGCTGGGAGAGAATAAATTTCTGCTGTTTTAAAGCCACTAAGTGTGTGGTCATCTATGACAGCAACAATAAGAAACTAATACAAGCAGTTAAGTCACTTGCCTAGGATGACCTGGAAGTATGACGTCGGGATGACTGGGACCCAAGCAAACCACCAGGCTGAGGGTTGCTGTTCCTGGCGGGGAAAGGGGCAGGGACAAGCGCCAGGAGCTAGAAGCCCCTGGCCTCTTTCCTTCCCTTCCCCACCAGTCCTCCTTGCCACGCCTCTGTCTCTGGCTTAGGGTGACTTGGGCAGAAGAAGGGATCCAGAGAAGAAAAAAATGGCAGAGTTTGTGCAGGGAAAGGTTTCCCTGCCTCTAGCACTTTGCAGCTCAAGCTTCACCAGAGCAGAAATAATCATTGCAATTCAAGGGCTGCTGCTAAAGCTCCTGTTAGGGGGTTGGATTGTGCTCCTGCCTCTTGAAGGAAAGGAAGGAAGGAAGGAACGAAGGAACGAAGGAAGGAACAAAGGAAGGGAGGAAGGAAAAGAAAGGAAGGAAGGAAGGAGGAAGCAGGGGCGGGGGCGGGAGAGAGAGAGAGAAGGAAAGAAAGATGCTAAAGTCCTGACTTTCAGTACTTAGATTGTGACCTTATTTGGAAATAGGGTTGTTGCTTATGTGATTAGTTAAGATGAGCTCATAGAGAAGTAGGGTGGACCCTAATCCATGGGACTGGTGTCGTTTATTAGCAGACAGCCACGTGAAGACAGAGACATGGAAGAAGGCCATGTGGTAATGAAAGCAGAGATCGGAGTTAAGCGGCTACAAGCCAAGGAAAGCCAAAGATTGCCAGCAAACCAGTGGAGGCTGGCAAGAGGTGAGGAAGGATGTCTTAGCATGGTTTCAGAGAAGCACAGTCCTGTGACCCGCCCTTTGATTTTGGGTTTCCAGCTTCCAGGTTGCAAGACAATACATTTCTGTTGTTTTAAGCCACCCAGCTTATGACACTTTGTTGCAGCAGCCCCAGGAAACTCACACAGCTGCTATGAATCAATAGAAAAATTAGGAAAGGACAGAAAAGGAAAGACCCATGACTCC